TTCTTCTCGGGATATATTAGAAAACAGACAAGCAATTGACGTGATTAGACACCTGTGCTCTTCCCTTCATCGTTCGAGATGCTTCATGCCTCGCAACTTTTACATCGTGCACGCACTAGGAATCTTCTTTTTCCCCTTGCTTCCACCATTGACGATGATCCGCAGGTCGATGAACAGTGAGTGGCCACTGGCCGAACAATCCTCTCCTTTCCATGTTCTGTGGTGATCGTCTCTTTGTCTCTCCGGGGTTTTTAAGATTTCCAAAATATTTCTGTACCTCGCTAAAATGTAAATGTTTGTTAAAGAAAAAGAAAGGAATAAAAGAAACCCTACCATGCAATTCTTTGAAAGTCTATTAGCGTTTATATCGTTAGAAAGTCCAACCTAAAAATTTAAGCTAACATATGTAAAGAGAGGCTGGTATGGAGTCAAGCGATGTGAGATATTTCAACACATTTTCTCACATGCAAGCTGGATTATGAATGACATGTGAAATTCGACAAACGGAATTGACACACACGTAAGATAAATTGGGGCAAAACTTGGCTCAACACAATGTGAGATTTTGTGAGACGACAGTTGATAGCCGTCTCAACAAATATGTCGTGGTATCAAAGCAATGGGTTCCTTAATTCAAATATTTCCATGGTCCTTATTTGTCCCCCTTATAATATGTTTCCACGCTTGGTTTTAGATTAAAGTCCAACCTACATGTGAGGAGTAGTGTAAGAATATTTTATATTGAAACCCGTTTTTATCTAACAGCTTAAGTCTTTTCAAATAGCTAGCTAGCAGCGGTAGCACAAATTTTTTTTACATATTATGAAATTGTGCAAAAAAATTATTATGAGATATCATTCTTTAATAATGCTATATTTGGGAGACCGAAGAGGAAGGAAAATGAAAGAAAGTACCAATGATTTAGAACTTTTTATTTTCTTCCTTCTCACGAATATTTGATCTTTTCCCTAACTCTTTGAGCCAAATACTCCTCCCCTTGCTCCCATTATCAGACATAGCCTCGTGGGCATAGAACAGAATAACAGGGTCATTGTTCCTTTCTCTTAATCACCGGTTTCTTCGAAGGCCTTCCAAAGGGAAACAGTGCACAGGCAATTGTGCGTCGCACGAATGTCTGAATGTGCAACCATGCTTTCCATGATTTACGTAATATTCTCAAGCAAGCGATCTCATTATCAAATACCATCCACTCACAGTGCCCTACAAGCTGACAAGAAAGTGTCTAATCGATGCAGAAGCACAGGCCCGGGTATTGAGATGTGGTTCATACTCTCAATTTTATAGTTTGGGTCTGTATTTTATTGGTAGTTTGAACTTGGCCCATGAATAGTTGTTGTCTATAGAGAATCTCTTTCTTTTATAATTGAGAGTTGTAACAGAGAAACGGGAGGTGCTAATTATGTGAAAGGATAAACCAAGATAAATCATGTGTCTTAATCTCTATTTATTGCCTTTATTCTCTATTTCGTTATGTTTGTGTGCCTAATCCTAACAGGGGTGATCAGGCTGAGTCGAGCCACTTGTGAATAGTTCAATCCATCAATCGAGCACAGTATCTAGAAACTTTTGGTTTTCTTCTTTCTATCCATTTCACCAAACATCAACGAAATATCCTTCAAGAATATGTATGGATTGATATAAGGATCATTTGTTGATTATAGACAAGAATGCAAATGATAAGGAATTTAAATGTATGAGGACCGTAGTCAATTGTAGCAAGCCATATAATGTGTAGAAAAGTAAAAATAAAGATAAATTTGCAAAGAATATTGAGTTCTGTGATTGATTGGAGAGACTTAACCCTCTACCAATGATTAAATATAGTTGTCACCGAAAAGAAACCTAATCCTATCGATGGTTAAAAGAAATAACACAATCTCCTATTATCTAGCAACACTTATCCTCAAGAAGTTATATATCCGAAATGTTACATATATGATAATATCGTTATTCAACAGTTACATGTCGATATCGATGACTTCATTCCGGTGAAGGTTCTTGTGGATAACTGATGTTTGTTGTCAATGACTTCATCGAAGAATTGTTGATTATCTTCATGTTGTTGACTGTTCTGTTCATTGATGACTTTAGTTTACCAAATTCTACTATTATTAACTATCTTTCACTTGCGGATTATAATAAAAAGTTGGCCATTTTTTGGTGTCAATATATGCTCCCTTCTAAAAGAATTGAATGATCAAATTAGCTAATTAAGGGTCCTTATATGCTCCCTGTCTTCGGCAAATTTGATTTTTCCTTACCGAATTACTTCTTAAATTATTTTCTTAAAAACAATACAATTAATTGTTATATGGCTCCATTAATGATGCCACTTGCAATTTTTTTTGTTTACTGATTCTTTTTTACTCAAGAGACCTTTGGTTAATTTTATCATGTCATCTTTTAAGAGTAAATCGAAGATTTCGTCCAACTTATTGATGTTGAACGAGTAAACTTGAGTGTCTTTAGCACTAGCCATTCTTGTTCTTATATTGGCACGTTCAAGGATCAACAAACGTAAGACTTACCACCGCCCGCCACGGCCCGCGTTGTTTTCCCGCCCCCCCCCACGAAGGGGGGGTAGTTGATTAATGTATGTTGGGACTTGTCGATTATCATTTTTGCCACATTTATTTCAATGTTTAAATTCAAGTTAGGTTCGTATTCTGATTCATAATTTTCCGTTAAGCCACGTTTTGTGTAAAGCCTTGATGTGGCCATTTATCTCAGGCTTTTAATAATTGCTCATACTTAGACACTCTTGTTCCTAATTGAAATAAATTGGCAAAGTCTTGGCCTTCAAATCTTTCTTGCATGTTAAACTTTAAACCATTGAAAGCCAATCCGTGAGTGTTTTATCTTAAAGCGAAGTGAGGCACCTATTTCTAACCTTCTTAAACCGAGCAATAAATTGATTGACCGACTCACTATCATGTCGATAAAGTCTAGCCATATTAGAGACTGATACTTCCAGTATACTTCTATAAATTGAGAATGGAATGGTTATGTCTGCCCAATTACATATCAAATTAAGAAGTAAATTAGTGTACCAAGTGAAAGAAGCTTTTGACAAAGACAAAGGAAATAGCCTAAGTCTTAAAAACTCATTTGTCCTTGTTTCCCCACACTTGGCTAATAAATCAAACAATGTTTTTGATGGTCGATTGTTCTTCTTCGCCACTAAAAAGGGCAAAGTCAAGGATTTTGAAACCTATTGGAAAAGATTGATTATCGATCCATTCGGAGTGTGGTTTCTTACGAGCGATGATGTTGGTCTTGCCAGATTATTTATGTTAATCGGCACATTAGGCCCAACAGGAATATTCATATTGGGTGGTGCTAATGAAGCCATTGGCCTTACACTTTCAACGTTTGGCAGTTGACTAACCAGTCGACCAATTTGATTTTCCAAATTATTGTTATCAACATTAGCATGATTATTCTCATTATTCTGACTTATTTAGAAGATTCAGATCTTTGCATAATTCTTATAGGAGGTTGACTACGTTGACCAACATTATTAGCATCAATAAATAGGGAGGTACTAGGAATGTATCCCGTTACTATTGGATTGACTTGGAATGAGGTTGGTGGATTGAACGATCCTGATCTTGACAGAGCATCATTTACGGCATTAATAACAATGGGCTCAATCACATCTGATATGTCACTCACGATTTAATTAGCCATATCATTTTGTTGTTCATCAAGCAATTTTCTAATGGTACAAACCACGCTGGAATTTGGAGCAATATCCTTTAACTACTCTTCATTCTGATGCCTTGGAAGATGTTCTTCGCATCGATTTTGTTCAACCATCCTCTCATTGACGAAAGATTTAGAATTGGCAACAACCTCGTTAGCAGTTTGTGGCATTGGATTGTTGGTGCCAACAACATTGTCGAACTCTTGTTGATTTTTGGTTCTTGCCATTCCAGTCTCCTCGAATCAACAAAACTAGTCCTACCAGGCATACTAAAAAGATGTTTCACCAAAAATATCCTTCAAGAGTATGGATGGATGGATATGCGAATCGACAAATGTTGTGAAGGGTCTTTTGTTGATTTTGAACATAAAAGTAAATAACAAGAGATTTATAGGTATGAGGACCAGAGGCATTCGTGGCCAGTCATGTAAAGTGCGGGAAAGTAAAGACAAAAATAAATTTGCAAAGAACGTTGACTTCTGTAATTAATCGGAGAGACTTTACAAAGAGTATATTTGGGGTATTTATAACCCTCTAATGACGCTTACATACATCCGAAAGTAACTTATAGGTGGTTACAAGAAGTTATACAGTCTCCTATTTTCTAGCAACACTTATCTGCAATAAGTTACATATTCCGAAAAATATCACTACTCGACAATTACATGGCGATATCGATAACTTCATTACCGGTGAAGGTTCTCGTCGATAACTTTGAGAGTTGTTGATTTTCTTCAAGTTGTCGACTGTCCCATTCATCGATGACTTATATCGTTCACCAAACTCCGCTATTATCAACTAAGTCTTTCACTCATCGATTACAACCAAAAGTTGGTGATATGTGGGTTGTCAACTATTACACGCATTAATGATCTCGGATCGAATCAGTGAAAGCATTATGCACGTTTTTCTTTCTCCTTTTTCATGACTAACCACGCCCTTCAAACAGAGCTAACGATCCAACGGGCGTTATCGGTTGCCCTTGCTCGGGAACGAATTGCGGGAGCTTCTTGCGAAGCTAACAGACGAACAGAACTTTGAATCGACCGCGGTCTTCTACTTTTTGTCCAATGATATTCCTCGACATATTCCCCAGAAATCTCTACAAGCGCCCCACGTGGAGTAAGGTTAACGTTGATAGACATCTCAGGAACGCAATCTTGAAGCTACCCGAACGATTTCAGAGCTGGATGGAGATGGAGATGGAGATGGAGCACCGCGAATTGTGGAAATATCGAGACCTTTTCTATTTTGAAGATCGCGAGCCTCGCCAGAGAGAGAGAGAGAGAGTGCAATATTCGTCCAGAAAACAATGTCTCGTGTCTCTCTAGTCCTTTCCGACTGAACCCTCTTCGAACATGCCCGACACAAAGAAGAGAAACTGTAGAAACATCCTGATAGATCGCCATGACGAGGCTGTTTTCTTTCCTTCTCCTTTTTGGGGTCTCCAACACTATAAATACCGCTTCTTTCTTCTGTGATTTCACGAGACCGAGAGGTGACTGAAATCCCCGTTCTGTCCTCTTCCTCCTCCTCCTCCTCGTCCTCCTTTGTTCTGTTTCTCTCTGCCAACGTTGAAAAGAAAAGATTCAAGAATGGCTCTGAAAGCAGTTCACGTCTCCGACGTCCCGAGTCTCGATAAAGTCCCGGAGACCGCCACATTAGACCTCTCTTCCCAACCCCGCTTCCTTCGAGGTGCGTAGAGTACAGATTGCCTAATCTGTTCTTCCTTCTCTTCTTTATTTTCTTGAGCTTTTTGCGAATCTTGATGTGTCGACGTTCTTTTGGTACGTAGAAGCGAACAAGGTCGACGGTGAGCCGATGAAGATGTTGGTGATCGGACACAGAGGAAGCGGAATGAACGTGGTGCAATCGAGCGACCGGAGGATGCGAGCCATCAGAGAGAACTCGATCCTCTCTTTCGAGGCCGCCGCCGCTTTCCCTGTCGACTTTGTCGAATTCGACGTTCAGGTAGGACGCGGTTCTCAACGCATTGTCTTTCCTGTTGATTTGGAGTGCGCAATTAGTGTTGGGAAAAGAATTAAGAGTTTCTATTATTGTTCTAGAATTTGTTTGACAAGTTTTTAAGCCTGGAAGAGACGCTCGTGAACATAATCCCGACTTATCGCAGCAGTTCCGCGATAAAGAAAAACGTTTGACAGCTTTCTAGGAGAGTTCGTTGAGGTGATCGGAGACGAGGTGGGATCAGGCGTCGCCGGCGGGATTTGCCGGTGGATGATTAGGGCGGAGAGGGTGTGTTCTTGATTTGTGGCGCCTTGAAACTGAGTCCTGATTTCTGGGGAACAACACGTGACAGGGTTTCTGTCTCTACTCGCCGCGAAAGCGTCGCCTTCTCCCCAGAAAAAAAGCCCAGTTTAGGACCGAAATTGAAACACGTAAGGGAGTGAGGTCACGGTCACGGGGTGTTAACAGCTTCTTGTCACCTGTCCTGTGCTGTCCAATTCTGTGGTCCTAACTGGAAACAAGAAAACAACAATTTCAATGGACAAGATTCACTAAATCGGTGTATGAAATCAAGATGATGCAATAAATCACTGTTTGACCAACTTCTTAAGAAACCCTTTATGAATCTAGGATCTACTAGATTCGATCTAGTTGACTGGTTCAATTTGTTGGACTATCAGGGCTTTAGGTGATAACACCATTCTTGATGGATGATCCTTCTTCTTTTCGGGCAAACTGTGGATGTATGTGACAGGCCAGTCGGGATCCTTGAACAGTTCAATTTGCAGATTTCAAAAATTTCCAGCTTCCTCGATCCAGTGAACAAACTTAACCCCCCCCCCCCCCCCCCCTATTAATTTCATCCGTCGCGTTTATATTCCGATCTATTTCAGGCTCTTCGACTCTTGTCTAGATATATAATCCCTCTCCATGGTTTCTTCTAATCTAAATCCGCCTATAATTGGTCAAGAACCCGAAGCTTGAGCTCCATTTCATGTTTGAAGCTGTAACTAGCGAAATCATATCCATGAAGTGGTTGACCTGTCCAGTTTAAGATTTTTCTCTTACTTTGCTATAGAATTTGTTATCTCGAATTTTCAGGGGGACTGATTGGTTTTACTTGCTGGTGTTTTTTCTCTTTTTCTCTTGTTTAAACTAATTGGTGATCATCGAAGAGCCCCGTAGAAGCAACTGTGTTGTAAACCAAAAAACAAAACTGTTTTTGTAGGTGACTAAAGATGACTGCCCAGTCATTTTCCATGACAACTTTATCCTCTCCGAACTCGAGGTTGGTAATCCTCATTGTTTGCAATTCACTTTGCTTTGTGCACTTAATTGACTGATCTAACAATTTTATCTGCGTTTCTTTCCTTCTTTTTTCCGATCGTAACCTGAATTCGGTCCTTGGTCGCAGGGAGAGGTAATTGAGAAAAGGGTCACGGACCTCACCTTAGACGAGTTTCTCTCATACGGACCACAAGATTCGCCTGGAGAGGTGATCCAATTGTCGTCCATTTTGTGTCTCTGTCAGCAAGATTAGTGAAAGAACGATAGCTTATGGTTTGACACTGTTTCTAAATTTCAGGTGGGAAAGCCTCTCTTTAGGAAAACCAAAGATGGGAAGATTTTTGAGTGGAAGGTTGAGAATGATGCTCCTCTATGCACCTTGCAAGAAGCATTCGAGAAAGTCGATCCCTCGATCAGCTTCAACATCGAATTGAAGTTTGACGATCAGATTGAGTACAAAGAAGACGAACTCGTCCATGTTCTTCAAGTTATTCTCAATGTATGCTTTCAAAAGATACAAATATTCTATTTTTTGGGTTGATCTTTGCCGTTTTGCTACATAAAGTCATGATTTTTCTTGAGCAGGTAGTGAGCAATTATGCCAAGGACAGGCCTATTCTATTCTCAAGTTTCCAACCTGATGCAGCCATTTTGATCCGGAAGCTGCAAAGCAATTACCCGGTAAGATCACTCTTGATTGCTCAGCTTTGCTCGTCCAGTATCCGATTCTATAGATAACAGGCAGGAAAATGGGCTTAAAGAAATCTAACTATTTGATGATCATCCATGAATGACCCATTTTCATACTTGTTGCGATCGACTTCTGACTCAGGTATTCTTCCTCACTAATGGAGGGACCGAAATTTACAAGGACCAAAGAAGGAACTCGTTGGATGAGGCGATTAAGCTATGTTTAGCCGGCGGACTGCAAGGGATCGTGTCTCAAGTGAAGGCCATCTTCAGAAATCCCAGTGCCATCAACGGAATCAAGGAGTCCAATCTGTCCCTAATCACCTATGGCCAGCTAAAGTGAGCTTTTTGTTCAGCGCCTCTCTTTTTTCCCTTTTTTTCCGTCTTAATAATTTCCATTTCGCCACTTCAACTGATGATGTATGTTTATGATCAGTAACGTTCCTGAGGTCGTGTACATGCAATATCTGATGGGCATCGAGGGAGTGATCGTCGATTTCGTCCCTGAGATAACGGAGGCAGTCTCGGACATCATGGGTCCTGTCAAAGAGGGCGACAGAGAGACGGCTTCAGCAGAGGAAGCCAAAGCCAAGCCCCAGTTTTCGCAGCACGAACTCTCTTTCCTGCTGAAGCTTATACCAGAGTTGATACAGTCCTGAAGTGTCTTCAAATTATTCAGAAAAACCAATTTCTGTGAAACCCCTCTCTAACAATTTTAGCAAGTCTAAATGCCCTCAATGTCCTTTTATCACCCTCAGGCTTGGTTCTTGAAGATCAGTGGCCATGTTATTCGTGTACAGATTAGTTCTCACAACCCATCAAGACTTTGTATCACTAGCTCTCCCCTCTGATCATGTTGCTTGGTTGTACTCTTAACCCAAGTCCTCTAGCACGAAATGTATGGTACGAGACTCGGCATGGTGTAGTCGACAAGTTTCTCGACAAATCCCTTGACGTTGTTCCTTACTTGAAGGGATGTATCGAGAACCGAAACAGAACGATCACGCAGAAATCAGACAAAATAGACGATGCACGAATTTACCCAGGTTCACCCTCGATTAGGGCTACGTCCTGCAAAGAGATTTTACTATATTTTCGGTTTACAGCCACTCAACTCGTTACAATAATCAGAAAAACGAGCAAAATATATATGTGCCCCAAACGGGCCCAAAACTTAAACTTATACGAAATCTCTTAATCTCGCACTATACGGGCCAGCCCAAACCCGTTGAGGTTTCGGGGGGCGCTGCCCCCGCCCGCTCACCGACGAGCGGGGCAGCCGTCCGCTGACCGGGCAGCGGAACCCCCGTCGAAGGGCGCTGCCCTCGAACCCCCGCCCGCTGAAAGGGCAGCGGAACACCCGTGTCGGGGGCGCTGCCCCCGAACGCCCGCATTCCATACGCAGGGGTCACATGTCGTCGGATAACACTTCAGTTTCCATAAGCTCATGTGGGCGTACCCGGTGTGAGAAACAAGGGTCCCGAAATATTCGCCAACTCCAACAACTTTGTAGCCAACCTGCGAGCGAGACTGAAGATAAGAATACAAAATGAGAGAGCGGATCTCCATCCCTTCAAGTGCAAGGGTGCTCTAGATTCGTGGATCCATGAAAAGGAAGTAAGGAACAGGGCTCACTCACTTGCCCCTTAGTGCAGACCAAATCCCCAATAGCTTACTGTTACTTTCGTGTTCGGCCCAGCCCACTAGACCTGCTTAAAGGCATGAACCGAACCCATTAGGGACTGGGCTGATCTCTAACTATATTGGAGCTAAACGAAGAGGGAAGAAGAACGGGTCATGCTACGAGCAAAGCTCACTTGAGTTCATCTCATCTAATTTCCCTTTTCTCAACCTCTTCTGCTTTGCTCATGTTTTGATCCCAAAACACCCACACACGCGCATGTGCACACCCCATAAAAAGACCCTTCTCTATACAGAGAGGGAGAGAAAAAGAGCGGATCTCTTTGGGGGGGCAAGAAAAAGAATAGCGAAATCAAAAGGCAAAAGCAAATGCCCTAAAACAGTATGGAAAAGCAAGGTGTGCGTGAGCATATGCCCTTGTGTCCAAAATGTACATGCACAGCACAGGCTTGCTCATCCCAGCCGAGGAGGAATCTGTAGCTTGTAAGTTACCAAGATAACACACCAAACCAAAGTGACTTATCAACGAGATTGTGACGTCAAATGGCAGGCCGGTTGGTGTTGGTGCACATGCAGATGCTCGACTGCATTTATTTTTGTTGTTGTCTGATGCAGGAAGTTTCTTTGATGTGCGGTTTCACTCGTTTATGGAGTGTGGCTTGCGGTTGCAAGCTATGTAAAGCAACCTCGGTCTATTGGTAGTTGAAGCATACATGCAAGTGGAGCGAACAGAGGGAGGAAGGTACTTTCATGTGTCTTTTGGTATCAGGGTACTGTTACATACGTTCAAGACCTGTACCTTCTTTGACCCACCTACGGATTGTCATCCATTGGTTGTGTTTCGCTTTCAAACATATTTTGTAGGATTCGCTTCCATCTTTGCTTGATTGATTTTTTTTGTTTTTTTTTGGTAATTTTTCTCTTTTTGGGGTATATAGAATTCGCAAATTATATGAATCAAGTCGCCTAAATCGTGATTGAGCTTAATTTGGCTGCTATTGCAGAATCACGATGACTGAATCTTTTTTCCCTTTTTAGTTTTAATTTTGGGGGTTAAGGCACCGTATTCACGTGACAACACCGATATGCTACAGCGATCGATGATGGCTTGAAATTATAATAGCGCTAGATAATAAAAACGAAAACATTGATCGGTTGGCGAACCGATTCAATCGCGACGAATGAAATTTTCGAAATCAAAAAGGATTAAGTAACAAGTCCATTAACCAAGAACTTATATATAACCCCGATTTCTCAAAATGGCACAGGAAAAGAAACTTATCTAAGCGTTAATAAGACATAACAAAACATAGACAAATTACCAACTTAAAACAAGGTGTCAATGATAAAAATGTTCAATAACCAAGAACCGAAATGGATGAAGTAGCTTAGTGACTAAATTGGGTTTTCGGGGTAACTTGACATTAGTGGCTGGGAATGTTAGGAACAGGCGCACAAACACAACGAAATAGAGAATAAATATGAGAAAGAGAAATTGAGACACAAAGTTTATCCTGGTTCATCATTAAACTAGGATTACATCTAGCAAAGATTCCACTATAATTAGCACCTTTCACATCTCTGTTGTAACCATCAATTATAAGAAAAAGAGATTATATATACTCAATAGAACTATCAATAAAATACAAGTCCAAATTATAAAGCCCCCCGGTGGCCAGGAGGTGCTGCCCCTTATGATCACCGGGGTGGCTATCTCGGACCCCTGCTCGCTCATTGGGGAGCGAGACTGTCGTGCCTTATTATCGATGAGGCGTATAAATCACACCCCCAACAAGGAATATATACCAAGAATCAGTCACAAAGTATCTCAACAAGTTAAGCATGCATTAGAAATTGATAAGTGTATTCCAAGAATAGGGTTAGGTGATGCGGCTTATACATACATTATATTCTTGATGTCTTCTTGAATCCATGATTCCCGCGTTGTCAACTATCGAAAATGATATTGGGGTCATTGTAACTTGTGGACTCAACATATCAATACCTAAAAGAAATTTAAAAAAAATAAAAGACAAACTTGTGAGGGCTTAACCCTAGTTGTTAATCCTATCTTTGTTCTAATATCGTTCATAAAAAAAAAGGCAAACTTGTGAGGGTTCAACCCCAGTTGTTAATCCCATATTTGCTCTATTGTCGTTCATATTTCGTCGTCCAAAACTATGGGTTACCTATTAACTAAGGTAGACAGCGACTTGTTGTCTTCAGATGTATCTGTTTATTTATTTTTAAAAAAAATTGCTTGTTAATAAATTCTCTTCGGGATATACATTAGCTGCAAAATATGTGCGTTGCTTCAAGGAGGGGTTGACAAAACTAGCTTCAAAATGAAGAAAAATCAACTCAACCACCCTCGTGATTTATGATGAGTTTGAGCGAGGGAACTCCCTCCGAAGTCATTTCGCATCATTGAAGGATTCTGATTCCTCTAAGTCAACCTTGAAATCGATGGAGATTTTGAATTTTCTGCCTGGCCACATGGGTTTATCTAGAAGTAACCCCATTTTGAGTTTTGAGTGGAATTTCAAAATTTTGCTTGTTTAGCATGCATTGAACACCAATTTGGATGAAATCGCATGCCCTCGTGACATCATGATACGTATTGCTATTAGGGTTTTTTTGTGTAGATGAAAGAAATTAATGTTCCAAAGGGAACACTTCTATGGTGGGCTAGCTCCATGCTCCTTGATTAAAAATTTATGCTTGAATGAGATAGACGCGATATTATGAATTGAGATTACTAATCTTCACATCATATGTCCATGTATATGTATTTGTATATGTATGGGAATACTTATATAAAGACATTGCTTGTGGAGAACCTATTATACTGCTTCCTTTTTTTGCCACTTTCCGGAGTATCGATGATATTATATTTGACCTCGCTACTAATAATATCTCTAGTTAGCGGGGATGTCGTGATGTTTATTCTCAAGAGCCATCACCACACACGAATCCAAGTCATAGTCACGGCATTGAAGCACGCTTTAGCTAATTGCAACTTGCATGTGATGATGCCTTGTGGAATTGAAAGTCACTATAAAGAAAAGCCATCAAGGAAAGTCACTTAGAAAAATCGAGAGCCCGAAAAGGATACGATATAGGAAAAGGAAGAGGGGAAAGGAAAATTAGTAGAGAGAGAACTGCGAAAAGTTGCTTCTCCAAAAGCTCTTTCCAATATTATAATAATCTCGACAGGAAGAAGAAGATCATCACCCACTCGAGGCCCATTGGGTAAGGCGTAGCAATCTCGAGTGCATAGTCAGCTTGTAGATTATTCAAAGGAGATCAAACTTAAGGCGACATAAAATATACTTTTATATACAAATTAAAGGGCAGCTCCTTTCAAGTTAATGAAGGGGTTCAAGTCAATTTGCCCATAAGAAACCCCCAAAACTTTAGCCCTGGTTTTCAAGTTCAATAATGTATGCGTTCTTTGCTATTCCTTCCAAGTAATCGAATTTGGCCTTGCATCATTCTTTTGCTCAAGATTTCAACTTCTAGATCTCAGATACAATGAATTCAAAGATATTTGCTTCTTTTGAAAACACTCTTTCTCTCTCTCTCTCTCTCCAAATTCATTGTGTGTGTGATGGGCACATGTAATATGACAAAATCCATGTATTAACCAAAGTGACCTATGTTGGGAATCCAAAATGCTTCAGAAGTTGGCAAACCCAAAAAGGGATAAGGCAATTTTGGAGAACACAAGTCCAATTAAAGCAAAAAAAAGGGAAGGGGGGGGGGGGGGGGAATAAAATTTTTTTATAAAATAATAATTTAGAAAGAAATGTGTGGCCTTTACCCAATTACAGCACCAAGAAAACAAAGAGGCGTATGGGAAAAAAAATTTAAAAAAAAAAAAAACGAACAATTTATGTGAACACGAGAACAGAAAGACATTTCCAGTGGACAACATATTTTACTCAAAACACAAATAATTGCAGACTTTGACGTTTCTCTCTTTGCTCCTCAAAACCCTCTTCCTCGCCCACACGCAAACGCCTTTGACCTCCCAACACAAGAATAAGCAGACAGACAGATATTGGTGATGATGAATGAGAGAGAGAGAGAGAGAGAGAGAGAGAGAGATGTCCATTTAAATCTTATTCAAGTGCAATTCTGAGAAAAATTCAAGGGAAGGAGTTTTAAAGAAACAGGTTATTCACATCACAGCCGCAAATTGGCTTGGAAAAGCCAACTTACCTTTCCATGTTGCATGCAAGTGGCCTGAGACCATTTGCTTGCGGGAATCTTTAATCTTTCTTAAAAATTTACCCCCTCATTTTTCCTTGCCCGATCTAGCCCTCCACAGCGAGTTCTCGTTCTTTTCAATTGCATAATAAACTTATAGTATTCGGGGAGGTTCCCCGGCGCATACGGAATCGCAGCAGGGAAGGTTTCTTCTTCAACCTGTCCATGTCCTGCAGCTGCTGTTTACATAACTCAGCACCCACCCTCGACCGTCCACACGTTACATCCACCTCCAATTTCTGTCGTCTCTCTATTATCCTCTCTTGCCTCATTTGAAATGATCTCATCCAGACATGTAGTATCAAAATGATCTGCACTCTGAGATTTCTTTCTTTCATTTATTATATAATTCATTTCTCGAGTTGAATATGAGAGCATTTGAGTTTGACAAGAACTGCAATAAGAAAGAGACCCGAGCGATTCCCATTCAAAAGCAAAAATTGAAAATCTTGGAGGGCCAGTATCTTCTAGGAGGACTTGATAAGGAATTGCTAAGAATTGTCAACATTTTTTCCTCATCCAAGTTTCGTATTTTGGCACCTCAATCATCGTAGTATTGTTTGTTTCGTAGCACGGCTTCTCGGGTACATGCGTGCGAAGTCTAGATAAGATTTTAATGATGAGTAACGGGATATTACATGTTCGTCCGAAAAGAAACCTCCGAACTCCGAAAACTCGTTAAAGTACTTAATTGGACGTATTATTCGAGTGGATGGCGCCCGCAGACAGGCCGTGGGATCATATGCGCTTGACCTATTCGCGATGCGCCACATAGAGTTCTCCTATTTACGGAAGCCGGCTCATTATTATATATCGCTAGTTTCAACTGGGTACGATGCGATACGAATGAAAGCGGGGAAAATGAATCGGATCGAATCGTTTTGTGTGTTTTTTTTCTTTTTGGCCGATGGAATGGAAGGGCACGTTTGTCCCATCACAAGGGGAGAGATGCTGGAGGCGAAGATTTTCCCTAAAATGAAAAAAAAAAACCTGATCCAAAAGAGTGAGACAAGAAGATATTAGGAAATCTTGAAATGGGACATCACTTTGAAGGTGGCATCTTTGGCGGCTACCTTCGATCCGACGTGGGTGGCTGTCGTTTTGGAGGCAAGTGGGTCCCCCCACCTCCTCTTTCTTTACTCTCTCTCTCTCTGACTCTTCCTCCGCGATTGCCCCGCCCAAATGACCGAAACGACCCTGCCATTCTAGTTTCTCATGGTTGAAATTGAAATTGAAATTGAAGAGAAATTGCACACCTTGCCTTAGATCTAAACGATTTTCGCAATTTAGTCTCTGCTCCTCCTCTTTTAAGAGCTGATTTTTACTGCATGAACTATTCCTGTTCGTGTAATTTGAGATTTATATGCCGGGAATTCTCGCAAATTCTGTGTAATGATTATCAAATACAATGGAGACTTTACGCGCATAGGTGAAAATTGTATAATTATATAGTGATCCGACTTAAATGGCTCATACCGAGTAATCAGAATACGACATAAATGAGGATTAAACAAAGACTTTTAAACTTACACGAGTGAGCATTTAGGGAGTTAAATCTCGCTAATGATATATTTTGGACTAAGCAAATAATACTTTTGAATGATGAATGCAAATTGTTTCCAAAACTTAGTATTTATTTTTTTCATTTCATTGAGAATCTTTAAAATGGATGTCGTATATCATATATCTATGTACCAAGTAGTTGACGGCACGTCCCTTCTTAGGACCATCCCGCGTTGATGTTGATTTATATCCATGCCTTGTCAATTTTAGGGAGCACCTGTTTCTAATTTTTGGGGACCTTGGAAAAATGGCCAACTGTTCGAATAATTATTTGATCGTAAATTTTCATACCCTATAAGAACTCGAGACCCGAAAGATTGTACTTTTTAATTGAAAATTAGAGACTACACTTGCGAAATAAAGTGGGGGTCGGAACACGACTTCGGTATCACCATGTTGGAAAAGCTCGACCCAAAAGCTTAAACCTAAAGGCGGAGGAAAACCGTGTTTATTTCTCGAAATTTTATGAAAAACTCGATGAACGAAGGCTTCATTTGTCTCGCGAAAAACAAATGATTTGGAAAATACTTTCTTAAAAATAATCGTTTGTATCGCTTATAAAAATGAATTGACCAGAAAATATTTCCATGATCAATGAAAACGTTTAGACATAAATCGTTATCAACAACAAGAGTATCTCTCCATCCACCAATTACTTAAGATGATACAAACAACCATTCTTATCATTCATTTCCAACGAATGAAGAGAGTCGAGCACCACGATTGTCGATTGCTTTAATTACCACATCGTCCTTCCTATCCCAATGATTGGAGTTAAAAAAAAAAAAGGGGATAAGTGTAATGAAAATCTTAAAATTTGTCACAAAAGTGCAATTGAGTCATAAAACTTTCAAAAAATGCAATTAAGTCATAAAACATATCAAATTTGTGAAATCAAGTCATTCTGTTAACTCCTTCCAATTTGATTAGCGGAAAATACCGACGTGACTTTTTTTTATATTATTTTCTCTCGTGACGTGGCTAAAATGACGTCTTTTTGGTCAAAATATGATTTTTAATATAAAGTATATTATAAATAAATAAATAAAAGACTTTTTTGTATTATTTTTTAAAAAAATTTGCTTATTCTTTTTTAGCCATATATATCATGTTTTAGCCATATTATCGCAAGTATAAATAAATAAAAGAAGAGGAAGAAGCAGGCGGTGCTACTGTCGCCCCTACCATCGTCGGGCAAGGCTCGCCAACCATAGGTGAGTGTCGCCATAGCCGCGATTTGGGCGAGACCCGGCCTCGCTGCGGTCGGCAATGGTCATCGTGGCCCTTGGCCGGAGGGCCGTCAACTCCCCGCGACACTTCCCCCACCATCGCTACGATGATGGCGGCAAAGAAGAAGAGCAACGAGGGCTTGCAGCCCTCGCCTACTTCTTCTTCTTTTTTGTATTATTTTTTAAAGAAAAATTCTTATTCTTGTTTAGCCATATATATCATGTTTTAGCTACATTATCGCAACGTAGGAGAGAAAATAACAAAAAAAAAAAAGGTCGCTGGTAGAAGATCCAAGATTGGAACGGACTTAATAAAACGACTTGATTGTACAAATTTGATAAGTTTGAGGACTTGATTACATTTTTTGAAAGTTTTATGACTTAATTAAATTTTCGTGGCAAGTTTAAAGTCTTTTAGTACATTTATGAAAAATAAAAATATAAATGGGGAAGACGAAAAAGGACAAAAGAGGAGAGTTCGAATTGAAGTCGAAGAAGGAAGTGGCAAAAGGCAACTTGCGGGACAAGGCAGAAACACCCCCCCTAAGAGGAGGACGTGCGGCAAGGGGTACACTAACGTACGCCGCCACCCTCAAGACAACGGCGGCTTTTCTGACCTTTTCCTCCTCTTCTTCTCCTTCTTCTTTTTCTTTTTCTTCTTGCCCCAGGGACAGCTTCGTACTTTCACGTCGCCCGTCCGGAAGGTGTCTTTCCTGGTGAGCTCCAGCTGTAAGCATGACGTCACGTGACTTCACCTCCCCCTCTCCCATGAGAGTCAGTGCTCCGCAGGGATCGAATTTACCGCATTGCCCCCCCCCCCCCCCACCCCCCAAAAGGAGGAGCTCGTTATGAACTTATTTTCCATGGCTTCCTTACCCCAAACGGAAGTATTTTAGGTAAGGTTGGTTTTTTGCCACAGTTCCATTGAAAAATGTTGGAATCGAATTGAGAATTGAACTTCGATGATAGTCGCTCAATTTCAAGTTCAACTTATTTCTAATCAAATCTCTCTACTTTTTACTTGCTCACGAATAAATCTAGTCTTCACAAATTTTCTAACCAAGCCTCTCGGTCATGGTTACATGACCTAGAGAGAGTTTAATCAACATAACTCTCGTATTGGAAAAATCTTGCGCCGTGTATATTTGAAAAACTTTATTCACGTCAAACTCTTATTTATAATTTTCTGGGTTTTCGCTTTGTTTTGTAGAATTTCGTGCTTTGCTTTACTTCGATTTGCTTTGCCACGAAAGTCTATGTACTTCTCATATCTCATTCTGAGCAATTACAATTTTCTTTCAATAAAAAAAAACTCCAATATTATCTATATTGATTAAATTTTTCCAACCATGTCCATACGGGCGCCTGCACATTTTATCCACATTGGTATTGTCCGACGTCGTCCGCAACGACTAAATTTGGTTAGATATGGCTCCGGAGGGACTTGATTAGAAAATCCGACAAAGACCCAATTAAGCAAATTACGAGCATATCGTCCCCCGATACGAAAAGGGACGAAAGTAGAGGGACAAAAAGTGAAATTTCAACGGGGAGGGAGCAGCGGCAGCGGGAGAAGAAGTGTTCAAAGGAGGGCTTTTTAACAGCTTCGGTTAATCCAACGAAGAAAAAGGGTCGGACTCGAACCGAGCTCGATTCCTCTTTTAATTTCAGATTTGCCATTAATGAAACTAAGAAGAAGAGACGGAAAAAGATTGGTTTAACCTTTTCGCTGTGCCCCCCCCCCCCCCGTCGAAAATCTCCAAACTCTGTTCTCGAGTTGAGACGTACTTGTTGAAATGGCGTCGGGGAAAAGGAGTTTGAGTCTGGTTTACGCCAAGTATGTCGTCCCCATTATTCTATTCTCCCTCTCCTTCTCCCGACGCCCCGCTTACTATAAAGCCCGGCATTTTCCCTCTCTCCCAAACGCACCCTCCAACGACCCCCTCCTCCCCCGCCCGGTCCCTCCCTCGCCATCCCTAATTTCTGCCACGGTTCGACAGCACTTGCCACCATCAATCTTTGTTGCTCTGAAGGCCCTTCTTGTTTTTGAGCCGTGATCTTTTTGGAGAGAGAGAGAGAGACAGAGGAGACCCTTTCTTTTTTTCATGTTGGGAAGACCGGAGCAGCCGTGAATTTGAGCCTGGAACTGTTGAGGAAAGCCTAGATTTCTTCGTCGGTTTTTGGGAGGCAGAAAGAGGTTTGATAAGGCGGCATATGGAGAAGCTGAATTTCGTGAAGAATGGGGTTCTGCGATTGCCTCCTGGGTTTCGGTTCCACCCGACGGACGAAGAGCTTGTGCTTCAGTACCTGAGGAGGAAGGTCTTCTCCTTCCCTCTGCCCGCCTCCATCATCCCTGAAGTCGAGGTCTGCAAGTCCGATCCTTGGGACCTGCCTGGTCAGTGTGTGTGTTTTCATTTTTTTTTCCACCTCTTCCCAGTTGGAAAAACTTATCGGGAGCTGAACGTGTTCTGATGACGTTTTGGCTTTCTGGGTGTCTGGAAATTTCAGGCGATTTGGATCAAGAGAGGTACTTCTTCAGCACGAGGGAGGCCAAGTACCCGAATGGGAACAGGTCCAACAGGGCCACCGTCTCGGGGTACTGGAAGGCCACTGGGATCGACCGGCAAATCGTGAGCTCGAGAGGCAGCCAAAGTCAAGTGGTGGGGATGAAGAAGACCCTCGTCTTCTACAGAGGCAAGCCACCGAGTGGCTCCAAGACCGATTGGATCATGCATGAGTATCGCCTGGTCAACTCTGAAGCCTCGGCCCCTCACAAGATCATGAACTTAAACCAGGTGAGAAGTCTTGAGAGAGCTTTCCACTGCGCATTGTGTGTCGAAATGTGTGTCTCGAGCTCCAAAAGCTCATCAAGATTGGAACTTTCAGTGGCCCCGTCGCTGCTAATTCGTTCTCTCTTTTTGGGTTCTTTTACGCTTCTTTCTTGAAATTTTGCTGATTCTGATATGTGAAATTGTGCAGAGCCCTGTTGAGCCAATGGAAAGCTGGGTCTTGTGCCGAATATTCTTGAAGAGGAGGAGCTCCAAGAACGAAGGCGAAAACGCAGTCTCTTGCCAACTCCTCAAGGAAGCTCCGAAATCCAGGAAAACTAAGCCTGTGTTCTATGACTTCATGACCAGGGACTTGAACCTTGCTCCTTCGTCTTCTTCCTCTGGGTCAAGTGGGGTCACCGAGGTGTCCTCCCAAAACAATACAGATGATCACGAAGAGAGTAGTTGCAATAGCCTCAGAAAAGCCCTACAGCACTAGCAATTCACACCAAATCTAGGTTTTCTTGAACCAAGTTCCCGGGGCTTCTCCGATTAAGCCAGTTTAGAAGAAGAAGAAGAAGAAGAAGAAGAAGAATAACAACCCTCGAGGAGTCCACATATCTGGTCGTGTTAGCTTTTTCTTTTAGTTCTCATCTCTTTCTCTGTAATATCATGGGACTAGAGACGGAGAGATGTCCAGAAGTAAAGTTGAAAAGGGAGAAGTTTCGGCAATTAACTTGTTTTGCTAACATCTAGAGCCCATGGATGTTGTTAGATCATCATCAATACTGTCATGTATTAATCTAGGGAATTTCAGAGTTTTTTTTCTATGTTTATAATGTCTTTTGGAATGTCCAAATCTCAATTCATGCTCTCCAACACAGTTTGTTCTCTTTAGGGGGCAAAAGACACCCCCATTTTGATTTAGCGAAAAAGGCATTCGAATTTTTGGGGACTACATCAATCAAAAGTTTGAAAAAAGAAAACAGCAACTCCTCCTCGCAAAGACAGAGGAAATGGGTGGAAAAGAGGGGTAATATCTCAGGGTCTTACAAGATCAATGGTTGTCATTCGTTTGGTACAAATTATATATGGGCGCAAACAAAAAAATCTCTTATGAACTCGGACCTGTTCTAAAAAAGTCGGAGGCATTTCAAATTGTTTGTTCCAAAGAAAGAAACATCATGAGGAGCACAGGAATGGCTCTTGCACGGGTCTCTCTCTGTCTCTGAGAAAGGGCTGTTGCTTTGCAGAACCTAATTCCTCTACGTTCTTGGCCCAGAAAGACAGATTCCATCTATGTCTTTTCCCACTGGTTGGAATCTCCAACTCCAAGGTGAACTTTCAAGCCAGTCTTCGCACATACTCCTCCAAAATCTTCTAAAGAGGACGGTACCCTATACAAGAGAACCTAATTCTCCCTTATATCCCCAAGAATTTGGACCCAACCTTGGGCAATCTTGAAAAATATTCTTCACTTTAACATTGAAAAATTAGCGGAATCCTATTCACGGGAGAGGGGGGGAAATAAAGTTATTCTCGAAGCATTTACGTTTTTCGGCCACTTAGGATGCGATTCGCGAGAGTTGGTATGTAGTGATTAGGAAACAGGATGAGGAGGAGGAGTTGGTCTCAACCGTCCAGTTAGAAAGTAGGTAATTACTTGCGCAATCTGTTGCTGGTTAAGTGTAATTGACGGTTCAGAATGAACTCAACTCACGAAATGGGTTAAGCATGTTAACATTCGAGAATTGGTCAGATTGATGATGGCGAGTCGCTTGAATCTGTGCCCTATTGAAAAGGGGTGGACCCAAATTCTGAACTCAGCTACACGCCCAATAAATTATGCAATATGCCGTATGGCAAATGGCACAGGTTCTCTCCGCTATCTTCCAACCCATCCCGCAACTTTGACCACAAATGGATTGGAAAAAAAAAAGTAAGTTTGATCCTCGATGGGATCGTGTTTATTTTAGTGCGCACTTGCACAAGGGGTTAAGCGCATATCGTCAAACACGCAGCAAACACATACTACCCGCATGACGAAATGGCCATCCCCCGCATCGCAAGAGGATGCAATTTGTCCGGTCAACATCAGCGATAGGGAGATATCGCCATCGCCTAATGAGCCTAGCCCAACGCAACGCAACTCCCATCTTTTATTCAAAACAATTTGCGTATCGCCTCAAGCAAAACCGCGGGGTTATGTAAAGAAAGGAAGATCAATTACCCGTAAGGTAGGTTGTCAGCTTATTACCTACAAAGCGGGCGAAGCCCTAGTTTCGGCCAAGGGGGGGGGAGAGAGTGTCACAAGAAGCGGGTCACGGAGGGGAAATTTTTGTCCGGAGGCCCAAATGGAAGCAAGGGGACGGCATTTGAAGGGAAATGGGGGAAAGGGTCGAGACGCTTTTTTGGATCATCATCGGTTGAACGGTCTATAATTGAGCTTTCGGCACAATGCCATGCCATAACGGGAAGGCAAAACCTAAACCCAACACCCCCATTTACACAAGACACCACCAGCAAGAAAACGATGGATGGACAGAAGAGGGAGGCAGAGTTTTCGACCGACCAAAGGAGGTTTCTTGTGGCAGTGGCTTACGGGGATCACGTATACCGGAGTTGTTCACGTCACTACCTGGATGAAAATATTAAGGTTTTTTAACTTCCCCCCCTTGATGACAAAAGGGGGAAGGAGGGGGGAAGTGAAGGAAAGATGTGTGTGGATTGCTGACTTAGGCACCCACCCTCCCGCCCCTTCTTTTCTCATTATAAGAAGAAATTGTCAATCACGTGGGTAGCCCGTCATGTGGCTGTAGACCCACGAAGAAGTCGCAATTTAAGGCCACTCACTTGTTGTCAAAATTGCTTCCTTTTCATTTAAATTAGGGCACGAATTTTAATTTTAATTTTTGTTTTTTGTTGGGGGGGGGGGTAGGTTCATCTGATTAGGTCAATTTCATTTCAGGGAGAGAGAGAGAATCCTACCTGTTTGTAATTGTTATGCATGATTCGGGAAGAGAGGTCTGCACGTCTTTTTGTGTTCGCTAAGTGGAGGGGCAGATTGGGGCGTTCTGGAAGATTGGGGCACTTTGCCTTTGCGGATTGGGAATGTTGTATTATATCAATTTGTACGTTGACCCGTTCTCGAACCAACCGCTATTATTATAAGTTGCAAAGCCTGTTCGGGACAAGATCTAGTTCTCGGGGTTGCTTAGGATCTCTGTAACAAGGACGTGTCCCGCAATTCCTCCCCTTTTTTTTTTCCTTTTCTTATCTAATTCCTCAATTACGCCCAAATAATTCGAGAGAATCCAAATCCAAATGGAATAATAATAATAATAATTGCTGCGTGGAGTGTCCCGCCCGCCCGCCACTTTTTTTGTGTGATATAGTGGCGTAGCGTCTCTAACCCTAGCCATCGCTCGAAGAACTCTAGACGAAGGAAAATGTATGAGATGATGGCGGTGCTTTAGTTTCTGAAACATCACTCGAGATTCACGTGAGAATAGCAGTGATTCTTGCCATCCCGAGGCTGAGATCGACCGTTCATCATGATTGCGAAGAAAAAGGAACCGGGCGATTCATTACTTGATTGATGACACATGAAAGGGGCGTATGGGGATGATTTGTGCTGCGAACTCGCACCTTCGCACGCAACAGCAACGGCGACGGCCAAAGAACCAGGTCCCCAAGAGATCGAGACCAATTGGTCAGCGCTATATCATTATGGATCTGTAATAGAGAGGCTCAAGAGATTGGATTGGGCGTGGAAGAGGACGTGTGAACCTTCACACCCGACAACTTGCAGACATTACGAATAGATCGAGGATATAAAAAATGTAGTGAGAATTGCTGAGAAGCAAGCTCTGGTCTAGAGCGAGAGCATGACCCCAGCAGCAGTAGGGGGCTTTGAATTATGGCGATAGATATGTCGGGGAGCTTTTTCCAAAGATTTGTCCTAATCCACTCCTCGCAAAATCAATAACTTGTCAAAACCCATCTTCCAACTTCGTAGTCAAGAGGGGGGGGTCCTCGTGAAGGCGGTGTTTTCCTTTCCTCCTATCTCGTTCCGTGGGGATTTCGTATCAACTCGTACACCTTCAAGCATCAATTTTAATAACCTGTATCGAGGAAGTAAAGATGGACCCCATCTAGGTGCATTACATGCAACTTCCTCCATGACCCTGTCGTGTCAAATAGAATAAGCATCATAGATCCTGCAAAATACCTTGCCTTTGCTTCTCGAGCAGAGAGAGGGAGATTTCACAGTAAATTCATACCTCCGTTGCATGTATTCAGTTCAAGGCCCCCCAAAGTCATTCCAAATCAAATTCTCGACATAAAGAGTATCGAAGTCCTCGCAGACATAACGAAATGAAATTAGACGAACGAGACGATGAAAAAGGACAGCAAAGCAAGATTTGTTGAATTTGAGAGATTGTTTTTGGATGGTGTCCCCTTAAGGTAAAACCTTGCATTTGGGCAGATGTGAGATCATTATCCAAATTCTGTCTGTTGAGTGTCTTCAGACCGGGGGCCAAAAAAACAGTAGGTAGGATATACTAAGTTAACCTTTACAAAAACATTTTACCGTACATCATCAGATCTAATTTTGAAATCAAAGCAACGGCATCGGTATCCATTAGATCAAAGGGAACAGAACGGACAGACAAAGTGACATAATCTGCCGACATATATTTTCAAACAAAAAATTCCTGCAATTGAATTAACTTCAAAAGAAAGCAAAATGCTCACTTACGGCCGCAAGGGTATGATAGCATGGTTGATCCAACGTGCATGGTCTCTTAGAAAATCTCAGATGCTTGGTGGAATGAAGATGATGGCATTCAGAGGCTTACAAAGGTAAAAGCACTAAGCAACAAAAGTTGGATGAGGCATGATTAAGCCCTCAAGAAAGTTTTACCTGCAACTAATTAAGCTTAGGAGAACCATTGCAACTGCATTAGCTCCACATGGTCAATATAAAAAAATGAACTAAGAGGCAAAAACGTTTCTTTCTGTAGGCCACACATCAGCAGCACTGCTTCAAACACGATTTCTTACAATTCTCCATTGCCAACTTGACTACTCTTTCCCTCTGATCTCACAGTAGCATCAGCAGCAAGCCTAGAATTTTTCGAAGAAGGTGCTTCTGAACATGCCTTGAGGACAGCCTCATTCTGCAAAAAGCATTGAATTTTTCAGTATTTTGAGAGATAGTGAATGCAGACATTCTTCAATTGTTCAATAAACAATAGATAATCCACTATCCACAAAAATCAAGTGTAGGTTGTCCAGCATCTCCATATGTAGCATGGAACAAAAGGGTTCATCCTGAGACCACAAATTCACACAAAAAACAAAAAAAAAAAGTTCTTGGCAATGGAAAATAAAATTGCGCCAGCCCTAGATATAATAATTTCAGCCGGCACTGATAAAAATTCAATGACTCAGCTCGGATGGGATGCATTTAAGTACTGCATGCGAGTCCATGAATTCTACACACTTAACATGCAGTATAAAATGAAAGTTCAAAAACACGAAAGTAATTAAAAAAAAAAAAAGTACCGAGAACAGGTGCATGAACATGAATGTACAATTGTTAGATACAGAAGGAGAGGATCGTGAAGAGATAACAGAAAGTTTTACAAACAAGGAGTTCATTCAAGCATAAAGCATGTCTTGAATGGTTATATATCATTATCACCTTCGCTCATTCAAACATAGTGCCTATAGTGAAACACGCCACACGAGAAGCATAACTAAAATAAATCCTCAAACTCCTAAAACGACGTTCTATATCTAAGAGGACAGAAGGCGCCCCATTAAGCAGAACTTCCAATTGCTTGTAGCTTGCAAGATTTGAACCATTAGTTTGCTTGCACGGAACACACTAGACAGACGAGCATTCACTATGACATGCAAAGATTACAGCCAACTTTGGTGCATTTCTTAGCCTGATTTGTCTTTAAAATCCGATAATGTTATGCAAATGATCAAATACATCAGTTAATGATAGTTTACAGAACATATATACCTACGGGTATGGGTGTGCGGAAGTTTGTAAGCTTCAGCAAACTCCATGGCAAGCTTTCGTATTCATTTCTATACAAAAGATGATTCCGTGGTGGAACAGACATTGTCGAGAAGTATAACACGAATTTCAGGATAGGAGTGACAAATGAACAGTTCGCGTTCTACCAGCCATATAACAGAACAAGAACAAACTGAAAGCGCACTCCACCAGTTATGACACCTTCCTCAACACTAAGATTGTTTGAACAACAAGAAGCAAGAACCCTGAATCCGAGGGTATGAGGACCATATCTGTGCCTTGTTTCTGACAACATTTTGCATAAAACATGCGGCCGACGTCTGTGGAAAGATAACTACCGCAGATCCTATAAAGGCTGTTTGTCCTGCAATTCTCAGCTCAGTGAAGACTGTGACATGGGGCCTTTTCAAACAATCAATCACACGTAATAACACTCCACTTCTTACTACATTTATGCGCAATCTAGCTTCGCCTTGAGGACCCGACCTCGATAGACAATACATCAAGCCGCACGAGGATACAATGTCAAGTCTGCTCATAATGCACCGCGCACGAGAGATTCGCAGGCTACCCTGGACAGTTATACCGATCGACACCTCCTGCGAGCGAGCTCGAAGAAAGGGAGGGACAAACACCATCAACAATAACCCGAATAAATGGACCGAAAACCTCCCTCCTTCCCCCTCTAATTGACCTGGCAATAATACCCCTTCAGCTCCTCCAAAGCTCACAATGCACATAGGAAAACACCCACCAACCATCGTTTCGTTTCCGCCTAATCTCAGGCTCGAGCCACTCCAGCTAAAAAGGCAAAGCAAGCAAGGAGCAACATTTCGCATCGAGAGCAGAAGCGCTAACGAGGCCCGCAAGTCGGCAGCAGAAAGAAACGGCCGGAACAGGAACAGGAACCGGAACCGCGAGCGAGCAATCCGTCACGAACCGCGACAAACCCTAGCGACACCAAAACCCTACAAGAAGGAGGAGGGAGAGAGAGAGAGGACCTGCCAGACGCGGAGGAGACGCTTCTTGGCGTTGGCTTTGCGGGTGGTGGTGAGCTTGATGCGCTTCCAGACGAGGCCTCCCGAGTCGTGCTTCTTCACTATCTCCATCACCCGAGTGCCCCAAAACGCCATTTCTCCCCCCCTCCTCCTCCCTCCTCTGCTGGCTTTTGTGCGGACGCCAATCTCCCCTCTCCTTACGCCGTAGCTAAGCTCGCGATGAATGAATGGGCCCCGAGCCTTAAAGCCCATCATCACTTGTTCGTTGGGGAATAGAGGAAGGCGAGACGGAAAAGTCCCGACGAACCCGGATCAAAACTCCGTTCTGCAAGCGCCTCTGACAAGGCGATTCTTCGAACCCTCTTGAGTTCATCTTGATCGGGAGTAATTTTCGGAGTTAGGACATGGGTTCGGAGTTACGTGAATTTTGAATGCGGGGTTCGGTTTGAGGAACTGGTTAAGCCGTGAATAACGCGGAGATGATAGTTTCGGGGCGGTGTGGAAATGTTGGTTTGACGAAAAATCGGTTTTGAATTATGGTTTAATCGAAACGGATATTTTCGAGTTTCTTCGTTAGGGCGTCGGGGTCGATTGGTCGATGGATAAACACGGTTTGGTCGAGCTGTTCGTCAGAGCAGTGTTTTACCTGGATTTTGATGTCGTTCTTTTATTAATCGGATAAAAACACGGATTTTTGAATACTCACCAAAAACTTCGACAAGGGATGGCACGAAAACAGAAAATTAGAAAATATTAATTTATTTTTGCAAATTTGATACCTCAGCAATTCTTTTAGGTATTTATACCAATTAGCCGATAATCACAGCAAAGTGTAAAAAAATAAATAAAATAAAATCGTCCCATCCGTTATGCGGCCAATCAGGACAAAGCCCAGTTTTGCCGGGCGATGCTCCATGGGCCGACCCGATCGACGACATGGGCCTGGCCCGATCACGTCCGTCCGGTCCACGGAAAGCACAAGTACTTACGTTGTTTGCTCCGAAGTACGTAATCAAATTCAAAGCCGTATTGCGAGTTCCGACGACTTTAGATGATTTCAAACTCTACTTTTAGGTCGTCGTTCCATGCTTTCGATCGAGTCTCGTTAATCAGCCGATTAATTATTGTGTAGGCCCCCGGAGCAATTAAAATAGGGATCTCGAACCCTCCTCGAACCTTTCCCTATCATTTTCCGGGCCGGCCCGTCCCGCCGCGAGCAGTCGGCGCAGCAAAGTCGTCGGAGAAATCGGGATGACCCGGCTAGCTAGATTCGTACTCGATCGGACGGTAACGATGGCTGCCGATCGATAATTAGCACCGAATATCATTCATCGGATGGGTTCCTAAAATCTTCGACGACTGTTTCGTATATGAGGGCACGATTAGTTGAGATGACCGCGAGTCTTTCCGGATAATAAATTATTTTTTTGGATAAGTACATTGGAAGTCTTAAAACTCTTCACGAAAGTGTAATTGAGTGCTAAAAATTTCAAAAATGACAATTAAATCTTAAAACTTGCCACGAAAGTGCAATTAAGTCATAATACTTTCAAAAAGTGCGATCGAGGATGAAAGGACTTGATCGCACCGACTTGACAAATTTCAAGAATAAATTGCACTTTTCGAAAGTTGCAGGATTCAATTACAAGTTCTAAGTCTTCTAGTACACTTATCCCTTCTTCTTCTTCTTTTTTCGACATCCGTTTTCGACCTTTCTGCCACTTGCTTTAGGTTCCTCTTTTTCGTCGTTGTTTTTAGGGTTTCTGGAACGAATTCGTCAAAGTTTGGAACTGGGACGTCAGGCGTAGTGTGCCGCGAGCTAGTTAAACAAGTGAAATTTGATTTGGAATGGACCAGGAAGTATCAAAGTTCGTGTTTTGGTCCAAAAAAACTTCGTGACATCGCACGACTTGATTTTGATAATCAAGGTACGACCGGTTTAGTCATAAACCTTCGCGCGGAATTTCAATATTATCATTCCGGCCGGATCGCCGACTTGGTTGTGTGCCATGCAGGACGGCCGGCGATGACTGAACCGCCATGTCGGTGATTTTCGGCGAAAATTGACTGAAAAGATTATCTTGGAATTTCGCATGAAGATTTAGGACTAAATTAGCAAAATTGATAAGTTTATAACTGAATTGACATCCGTATGATAGGTTTAGGACTTAGTGGATGGTTTTTCCAGTTTCGTTGTGTCGGGAATTTGGCAATGTCACCGATGAGTGATAATAGGATACTTCGTTGGACAACTCGTATGGGTTAAGACCACTTTGAATAACTATAGAATGAATTAGATTAACGGGTGACAGACATGTATTGTTATGGATAACGAAAAAATAGTTCGGGTACTTTTAAAGAAAATTTTGACAGTTAGGTATGTATTTTGTCGGGTCACGGTATCATCTTCCCCCATGGTCAACTCCGAAAGACACGATGCGTGTTCGATTCTCTTCGCCGGGCGGGTGCGGACACTCCCCTGCTGCGGGCATCCATCTGGATTTCGACTCTCGTCTTCGCTCGGATTCGCAAGGCCGGTGGAGCATTTCGCTCGCGCAGGCTCATCTCCCGTGAGGGCCGGCCGCGGGAGCAGGAGGAGCAGCCAGACCGCGGTTGCCAAGAAATGACCGGCGAAATTGCTCGGCGACGGAGACCCCGGGAATTTCTTTCGGTCATACAAAAAGAGGCTTCTTAGCTAAACATCTAGCCAAAACGCGCGTGCCTCATTGACCATGGAAAATCCCTTTGCTGAAACACGGTTCGACTAATAAATTGCCAATTTCCCCCCCGGTTTCGCTTTGTGCCGGAACACGGTTCGACTAAATTGCCCCGATTGAAAAAGGAGTTACGGAGTTTTCGATCCCTGGATCGTGCCGATAATTGAGCTTGATGTTTCCCGAGGTGACGGTCGATTTCATGTCAATCTCCCGAATAAGCATCTCGCCCCCTGTTCTCCTCGATGACGAACTTTGATTTTTAAGACGGAAGAACCCGGTTCCATTCCATTTAAATGACGAATCTCCTCGGTCTTTCTTTTCCGATTAGGTAAAGAAGAGCTCGTTCGAATCATGCGTTCATAAAAAGAAAAGGACAGTCATTTTCATGGCAAAGTTGGTCGAAGGATTGACAAGCTCGCTTGCCTATATATCTCCTATAGGCTAACACAAGATAACGAGGTTTAAGGGTGCGTTTGTTCTTACGAAAAGGATTTGCATGGAATATGATTTTCAAACATTCTGGTGTCGGTTGTCGAAAATGAACAAACGGCGAAAAAGAATTTCCGATCGAGAAAAACAATAAATACTTAAAACCGAAGAAGATGATTTCTCCATTCTTAAAAGAGGAAATCGTTTTCCCATGGTTCTTTTCCACACGTACCGGACTTCCCTTCTCTAGGATACCTTTCGTACCTGTTTCTTCTTCTCTATTCGAATCGATTCTTACTATCAACTTCGATCGCGTGTAAGCGCTCAATTCGTCGCCAGTCTATCGGACCGAATCATCGTCTGGTCATACGATTTTCCACTCGACTGCGCGAATCGTATTTCCGGAGGATAGTATCGGAGGCGCTTATGGAAAATGCCCTTTCTTTATTAGATGTTTAGCATGGCGTCACCCTTTAATTGCTTTTTTTTGGAACGGAGAATCATTCTCGCATGTTATGAGCGCCGAGAGATTTAAGTCCTTCAATTATTTGCTCTCTTTTTCTTCTTTCCGGCATCTTTTCTCAGGTTGCTTTATATCAACAATAATAACAGAAAAACAAAATTAAAAATTCATGCACCGCGGCGCATTAGTTATATCTTTAAAAAAAAAAAGGCTTCGACATCATCACGGTATCCTCGAAGTAAAAAAGAAAAAATTACAATTAAAACAGAGAGAATAATTTCCGAAAGCGAGATCGAAGGCATCGAAAAAATTAAAAAAAAAAGCCTTTTTTACCACTTCACCTTCGAGCGTATAACCAAACAATTAAGGAAGCGTTTGTTTCCACGAAAAACGAGTGACGAAAAATGATCGCTTATATCGCTTAGAAAAAATTGAGAGAATGGAAATTTTTTCGTTCCCGCCGACTAATTTTTCTGAGCGATGTGAGCGATCACATTTTCTAATTCATTCACTCGTATTTTTCGCGAAACGAACGCAATTCAAGATTCGATTATAAAACGATTTGTTTTTGGCGGAAAAAATGTTTTCCTCCGACGACGAGAGGGAGGTTATCCGCGCAAAAAACACGGGCCTTTACGTTCTTGCTTTTTCCTTCTCGCTGTTCTCATCCTGCACACGCCACGCCGCGCGAAGAAACGGCGCGAAACCAGGAAACGTTGAAAAGTCAAAGTCCCCCCCCCCCCCCCACCTTCATTTCGTTTTTCCGTTTTTTTTTTCTTTTAATTTTGTTTTTATAAAATTTCCTCCATTTTTGTATTAATTTTTTAAATAATATTATACATACATATATATATATATTTATTTTTGGGGGGCGATAAAGATCGATCGCGCTCGCGTCATTTGGCATCTACAGTTCCGGACATGACCTCCCAAAAGTTCGAACCCAACCCACCATACGTCTCCTCCTTTGACCACCCCCCCCGCACACGCGCCCAATCAGATACAGAGAGAGAGAGAGAGAGATTTTTCTTGCTTAAATAGGGATTGGTGCTTCGCTCGTTCGTTCCTTAATTTGACTCTCGTTTACCAAGCAAGGAGGAAACCCACCGTCGTCGTCGACCGCCACCTCATCGCCGCCCCCGCCGCCGTCGTCGCCATTCTCTCGCTCCGCCGCGTGCTGGTTCCTCCTCCTCCTCCTCATCCTCCTCCTACTCCTCGAGATCTCGCGACCTCGGCGATCCGCCGGTTCCCATCGAGGCCCGAAGGCGGCTCCTCCGCGCCGCTCGATTTCGGTCGCCCGGCGCTGACTTGGATTGCTCGGGTTCCGTGACGGTGAAGGAGAGCGCGATCGTCGACGGAGTTTTTTTTGGCGTTCCTTCCTTCTCTTCTCTCTTCTCTCTTCCTTTCTTTCTTCCTTCTTCGGCGGGGGTTCCAGATGAAGAATTCGCTCAGGAAGTTGCGAGGGTTCGGAATCCACAACCACAAGCACGTCGGCGCCAGGGACAGGCGGGATCTTCGATGCCTTTCTCAACTGGACGAGCTCGCTCAGGCTTCTCAGGTACCCCGCCTCTCCCTCTCTCTCTCTCTGCGCGCGCGCGCGCGCTCACGAGTAGCTTTTGGCGGCCGCGACAATCTGGAATGAAGTAGAGGGCAAAACAGGTGGCGGTGCGGTTCGGTTTAGGTTGGCGAGCATGTTCTTGCGGTCTCGCGGCGCGGCGTTTGCGATGGATGTTGTTCTATTCGGAGCCGGCCAATTCCGCCGGTGCTTGTGAAGACGGCCGTAATCGGGATGCTTGGTTTTGCTTGCATCGAGCCTATTTGTTTTGAGTATCTGGTGTTTCGTCGCAAATTTCTTGGCTCGTGATTAGGGCCGTTGATCTCCGAATTGATTTCGGTGACCGTCGCTCTTCAGCATGCGATTTCCAGCTGAATTTTCTTTTTCGTTTTTGGAAAAAATGAAGATGCAGGGTTTAAAGCGCATCGCTATCCGTTTCTCGTGGCACACGATTGTCCGCGCTTTTGACTCTATTCTTTATCTTTTGCTGCAGGACCTGGATGATATGAGAGATTGCTATGATAATCTACTCTCTGCTGCTGCGGCTACCACAAATAGCGCTTATGGTACTCTTTTTTTTCTTATTTGTTCCTTCTTTTTCTGGGGATAAGTGTACTTGTGGTGGACAACGAGAGTGTGCTTATGGTAATCGGTAGGACTAGTTGTGTCTATCGTGTTTAGTGTAATACTGAGTATCTAACTCGTCGATGATGTCGTTCCGAAACTGTAAATCAGATTAGCCTGTGCACTCAGAGTAGCTGATGTTGCTGTGTATTTGTTTAGTTCAAAGATAACTCGACTTCCTGCGGTGGCTACAATTTGATCTGTTGCTGAATTATAAGCCCAGATAATCAACTTTGTTGATGCAGCTTCTACTTAACTTTCCTTTGGATTCAGTGTGTTTGATCACATTGGTAAAGTTGTGCCATAAAATGATGTCAGGAGCAAGTGCATTTATAATGCCCCAAACAAAGTGTTTATGACAAGTGATGTCATTTAGATCTAATTGTAGTTTTGTCCCCTATCTATTGTCCGAATTCATGTCAAAACCAATAATGTCATTGAAACTTTGCTGTTTCTTGTTAAGGCAATTTCTTGACTGATTTTGAAGTCAACTTCTCTTGTAGTACGTTGACGTGATCGCTAATGAGTTCGCCGATCTTCATTTGTATAAAGTATGCTCGGATGCTAGTAACTTCCTCGAGATGAAATCTCTTGCATCTCTTTCAAAGTTGGCTTCTGGCTGATGGTGAATGTCAAGATTTTTTTGGTGTGATGAATGCAATTGTAGTGACCGTGCTTGGCTAATTTGGTTTAAACCTTCGACGTGCTAATGTGCCAATAACTGATGTAAGTTCTGCTCGACTCCGTCATTTTCTGGAGATCTTAAGCAATGTTATCGTCGCTGTACTTTCAGAGTTCTCAGAGTCTTTGCGGGAATTGGGTGCTTGTCTTCTTGAAAAGAATGCATTAAATGATGATGAAGATAGTGGTAAGTATGTACATGTTTGTTTGGGAGTGCACGCGAGTGCCGAGAAGGAGAGAGAGACTTTGACCGCTTCTTATAATGCAGGAGAGGTATTGCTCATGCTTGGTAAAGTACAGTATGAACTCCAGAAACACCTTGATGCCTATGTAAGTCCTTTCTCAGGTTTGAAAAGCTGGAAATAGTTTTTCTACTACTCAATCATGCTGACAAATTCTTAATTATTTTCAGCGCTCTCACATATCACGGACAATCACAATCCCTTCGCAGTCTCTTCTTAATGAACTTCGAACGGTTGAGGTTTGTCTGTTTGGATCATCTTGTATCATCTTCTTTATTTGAAGTAATTATGATTAGGTCGTTATTTGCTTATGATCCTAGAATGGTTCGATTCAGCTGACGATGACGGTATTTTTTAAGAAACCTGTTCCCTACCTGGTGTTGTTAACAACTACGCCAGACATTTGGCAGTGGCTTTTAATGACTATAGACTCCTTTTGCTCCATTACCACTGTGTCTGGTTTTCTAGGGTTCGCAACTTTAGGTTCTCAATAATAACAAGGGATCGGGTTGTCTTCATGTTGGCAGCTGCGACAGTGCCTCTTGATCAAGAAAGACCTGTAGCCTTATAGTGGAATATGTTTTCTTTTGTGCTATCAGAGAATGTGAGTAAAATACTAGGCCCATTAATTAATTGGCTGAACGTGGCATTTGGATGCAAATGTTTAATTCATCAAATGGATTTGCATCATCGACTTATGACTCCTACGTAGTTCGTGAAAATGAGTATAGCTTCAGCATTCTTGTGGTATTTTATCTTTAGTTAGTGAGTAGCTTTTAGATGACCAAAAAAGTAGTGATGGTAACAATTACTAAGGCTTTTCTGTTGACGTTGATGCAGGAGATGAAGCAACAATGCGATGAAAAAAGGTACTTATTGGTTATTGGGTTTGTTTTACTTTCAATTCTCCCTGTTGAGGTTACTGCTTTTTCACACTGGTTGCGGTCCACAGGAGCATATATGAAGACATGCGAAAGAAACAGAGAGAGAAAGGTCGATCAAGAACTGTTAAGGGAGAGGTTTTCACCCAGCAGCAACTCCAGGAAGCTCATGAACAATTTGACGTTGAGGCGGCCATGTTTATATTCCGGCTGAAATCTCTGAAACGAGGGCAATCTCATAGTCTTCTTACACAGGCAGCTCGTCATCATGCTGCTCAGGTTAATTTCTCAGTATTTCTTTTTCATCCCTCCCTTTTTATAGGTGTGATGCCAGTTAAAACCACGTTAGTCATAAAGGCAAGGCTACTTACATTAGTTTTGTGCAATAGTTGAACTTCTTCAAGAAAGCCCTAAAGTCTCTTGAGGCGGTGGAGCCACATGTACAGTTTATTTCTGAGCAGCAGCATATTGATTACCCGTTCGATGGACTTGAAGATGCTGAAGGGGATGAAATGGATGATGATCAGGATGATGACAGTTATGACGCTCGTGATGATGGGGAATTGAGCTTCGACTACGGGCAATCTGATCAAGCTCCAGTGACTGAGGCAAGTATTACGCGATCAATGGAGGTAAACATCTATTCTACCCCGATAGGAAGTTGTTAAAGGCTACATCTTTCCACTTAAAAATCCGTACCTTGTTAGGCTAATTTAATTAGCACCACATTTATTTAGGGGAAAGTGGTTACATTTTGCAGGTATTGATGAATATGCATCGAATATGCCACTCCTATGCACGTGCATGCACTCAGAAAGTCATTTCCTTGTATTTCAGAGTCATGCCTTTACATCTTTACTGGGCAGATGTCTTTTGTCCAGTTACAGAAGTCATTCCTTACTTGGTGATGGATTAATAACAGCATATGAGACTGAAAATTCTAAGTTTAATACATAGTCTAAGGTGGTTCACAACTTTGTTCATGTACTTTTGAGCCACAATCTCACTGAGAAGACACATTGAAGAAAATAGTTGACAGTGTGGTTATTCTTGGTCCAATAAATGGTCTGCAGGGCAAAGCATGTATATCCTGAACCGTGGTCAAATTTACGACATGGTGTTCTATCTTTATTGTATAAGTAATTAGCGATACGATGAACCTTTGGCGCTGAAGCACGACTTTTAGTCTTCTGCTAACTTCATCTTAGCATCTTGCCATATTAACTTGTCAGCAATTAACTTTTGTGCAGTTGGATCAGGTGGACCTTACATTTCCTCAAGCTCCAACGGCTGAAGCCATGAAGGTAGTACCTGGCTGGTTGCTTATCTTTTGTGCATGTCCTGGGTCTATGCTCATGACTGTATCTGGGCTGGAAAATGTATTTCCTATAGGATGATTTTGAATGCTTTTATGTTCTCCCACTCTAAGTTTGCTGAATCCCATTAGTACCATGCCTGATCTTTCTTCTATATCTGTTTGATTAAAGGAGCTCTCTTACTGGAGACATACGGTTGAAATACGGACAAAGATTGTACAAGCTACTTGTCATATGGCCCGTTATAAGCATATCAACCTTTTCCAATGAGTGGGAATGCATGCTGCATATGTCTAAAAACGCCTTTGCAAAACTCAAGGGTCTAGATATATTCGAATATACTTTTTTCCACTGTGACATTTGTTTCTAGGACTTGCAGTTAACTGTGTTCTCTTTCCAGTTGATGTCAAATGCCATATAAGATGCAGAAGAAACGTTATTAATCTTGTCGACGTGCAGGAAAATGCAGAGAAAATTGTTCGGGAATATTTTGGTGGAGAAATCAGGAAGATCACCCAGTCAGCCCCACTCTATCCAGAAAAGAAGTTGGATCCTACAGACAAAATGGGGCCAATGAGACAATCATCAACGCGGAAACTTCAAACCTATGTCTTGCCCACACCGATGGATGCGAAGAGTTCAATCACCACATCATCAATCAAACCATTTCCACCCTCCAGACAGACTAGTTTGAGCTGGCGTAACCCAAAGTTGTGGCATTCATCTCCCCTGGAACCAAAGAATATTGGGAGAAGCTCAGCTGATGGGAAATTCTCGGGGACTTCTGTCTCGAATAATCATGGCATTTTCAAGGAGAGTAACAACAATGCCACATCCCCATTACTACCTCCTCCTTTGGCAGACGGGCTCTTATTCACTAATATCGATCCCCTCGGTGCTCCTGGTTCTAAGAAATTCAAAAGACAAGCATTCTCTGGACCATTGAATAATAAGCCGCAGCCTAACCAGTCAGCGCCATCGGAACATCCCCATTTATTATATTCAGGACCAATCTTGCGAAATCCAATTTCCCAACCACTTTCATCTCCTCCAAAAGTGTCTCCAATGTCTTCTCCACCTCTTACATCCTCGCCTAAAATAAGTGAGCTCCATGAGCTTCCAAGGCCCCCTGCCAGTTCAAACACCGTATCTAACAGACATTCAGGATTCGTGGGTCATTCAGCTCCATTGTTCTTGCGAGGACAAGATCTTTTGGTTAAGAAGGAGCCCATGGCAATGACTTCAGCATCCCCACTGCCGATTCCTCCTCAGGTTGTCCCCCGTAGTTTTTCCATTCCTTCAAGTGGTTTGAGGACAGTGATCTCGCGGGGTTCAAAGCCATCGGAAGTTCCAATTATCATAGAGACAGCCGAAGATGTGTCTTCTCCGCCTCTAACGCCAATAGCTCTATCTAACATCCAGCATCCACCAACTAATGCACGAGCTATCCTTCCATCCGTCCGGATAGGAGGTAATTAAAAAGCCTCTGCTGACGGATATTGTTTACTTAAGAGGGGATGCCTTTAACAAATGATTTACTTGCCATCAGGGAAAATAGTTTTGAAAGAATCGAATTAATCCTATTGGAGTTCATGTCCGGCAATATATTAGTGAAAGAGGATTGAACAGGCCCATTCATTTTTATCATCTGAATCACTCAACTGGTCTATTGATTGCATTCTTTATGATTATATTTACTTTTGTAGACTCTAGGTTCTAGCTACGTTGAGCCTGCCTTTGTTTTCGGTGTCGATTTCCTAAGTAAATAGAATTTCGGTGAATCTTTGATGGGTTTGAAACATTTTTAACACTTGCTTTACTAGTTTCAAGAAGCGTTATTCTGTAATTACGGTTATTTTGCACAGCTTCCCTTCTGGTTAGGCGAAAAATTTGGTCTTTATCTGTTCCTAAATAGCTCTAGAGCTTTATACCGGTGCCTCAAAACTCATTTTTGAAATCCTATGTATTTGCTGGATGCAGGGACAAACTGATGATTTCATTTGTTGGAGCATTCTTTGTGCAATCCATGGGTGTCCAATACAAGGTAGCTTGTGGTAATTTCTCGCAGTTGCATATTTGTAAATATATATTTTCCCCCTTAAAGCCATTTCTGGGGGGAGCCGTCGGTAGGGAATTACGTAATCGTCCTAACGTGTTGAGCCAGGCAATTTGTACATACTCATAGGAATTAAATACGAAGATGTTTTTGGCTTTCTTTCCACATTTTGACACGGACAGATCTCTTTTGTTTAGTAGTGGAGTGGGAATTCATTCTCCCATTAGCAGATCATAGCCCCACTAATGTCAAGCACAATTCAGTAATGCAATATGCCATTCGGATTCTTGAACACGTCCTCATGAATTGACAAGTGAGACCTGTGTTGAGACTTGAGAGTGTGTACCTTCTCTTTTGGTATGCATCATTTCTTTCCCCTCTCAACAAGCTTTCGAAACAGTTTGGCATCTGCGATGGTAATGAGTTTCCCTGTTGCTCATGAGGATGCTAACCTCGAATCGATTTTCATAGTTATTGCTACTGCGGTTCATCACTCACGATTGTTGATCGTGCCAGTTTTGAGTCCTGTCCTGTTCATCGAACAAATTGTTTACATAACGTGTAGCGTTCATGTGAAGAGGCGTGCTTCATGCAAATGTATACGCATTGCCCTTTGACGAATTGGGACACAATCGAGTCGCTTGAAGTCTACCCGTTCAAAGATGGTCACTGCCGACAGCTATGTGCAATGACTGCATATCACATGCTTCTCCATCTGATAAAAACCAAATCTGCAAGGCATTACAAGGTACATGAAATGAACGCTGTGTACTAAAAACAGGAGGAGGGTCTTTTGATTCTGGAATCGGTGGAACAGCTCAACTCTGCTCTTTGGGTACGACATGATCCGTCAGTTGCAGCTCCCTCCAGCGTCGTATCTCACAAATCCTACCAGCTCCGGACCTGCCAATCTGGGATTTTTGGCGTAACTGCAACCAAAACAACCCCCCGTCTTAATTGCTTTGACTCGTACAACAACTAAAAGGCAGTAGGAGCGCACAAAGTCAAACACGACAGGACATCACAGGTTCCCACCACACAACACAACAAAGAGAGTTGTTGCCGAGTTCAGTGAGTGCGTGCCGGTGCTGGGTCTTAAAGGAAAATTCACGATGGAGGGGGGGAGGGGTGGTGTCTCGAACCTCTGCTCTGAGAACTTGGAAAATGAACCGGAGGTCGGAATAGTACCGCACAAATCATTGCTCGACAGGTCGCTGCACGATCAGGTTTCCAACTCGAAGGAGTGAGATTTCACGACATGAAGAAAAAACCATCTTATTCCCACCATACGAGGAAATTAAGACAAATGAAAAAACGACGAGAAAAAGAGAGACTTACAGAATCTTGAGATTCCGGAGCTGGGTAAGCTGTCTGGGGATTTCACCGGTCAGCCTGTTGCCGCTCAGTCGCCTGCATGGCGTGGACCAGTAACGTTACAAACAGTGCCATCATTACATTACTTTTTTTTACCCCATTTCATTTTCAGAACCCACAGAACAAAAAGAAAGAAAGAAAGGAAGAAGCAAAGGACTTTATCATGTGGCCTCGTTGAAAACGATAGTTAATAAATGCTTCTTCATAATTGCTTTTCAAACCGCTGAGGAAGAGTCCGAGATATGACAAGATGTCTGATGAAAGGTCCGGTTGACCGACCCTCATCATCAAAACTGAGGATGAAAAGCCTTCGGATTGGAAAGATAATCTAAATACTGAAAAGAGATGAACATAACAAGCACGGCTTAACATAAATCAAAGACAAGATGCTGCTACGCTTGCATCTTCATACCGCCATAGCTCCTCCTAGTCCTTTTACCATTGGCCTCAAGGTTTAAGAAATTCCCATAATCTCTAATGGTGAAAACATCGAAGCGCGGCCATTAATGGTGAAACGGGTTGAGATGATTATCAGCACCTCTCTAAAGTCATTTGCTTTGTAGGGAAAAAAAGAAGGAAGAGAGAGGTGCTCACAGGAATTTGAGATTGGAGAGCTTGGAGAGAGAAGCAGGAATGGAGCCGGTAAGGTTGTTCTGGTACAAATCCAAGCTCATGAGGTTCTTCAGCCCTCCAAGCTCTTCCGGTATAGCGCCCCTTAAGTCGTTCATGTACATCTCCCTGCTCACACGGATGCATTTGTCCAAATGATTTTTATCGATTCCATGGCGAAAGACGAACGCTTTATCATACGAAACCAGAGCACAGAACGACCCACTAAATTTCCGCAGACGGATTGTGTGCCGAACAAGAGCGTGCGGTCACGCAGTATGAACAACATGCAACTTGTGTGTGTGTGCTTAGTACTTCCACCTTAATAGAGAATTGAACTCGTTTCCTCCCATCCAGTTTTGTCAATTCTGGCGATCAATGCATCTCCAGAACACATTCTCCGTTTCGGCCAAAGATAAAGAGGACAGTACGCAAAAACAGGGATGATAAGGGAATTACTCACAGATACTGAAGGTGCTCGAGCTTCCCCAGCTCGGGAACGAGACTACCTGACAGATTCGCATCCCCCAGGTCTCTGCATCAACATATGATACCACGGAGAGAGGAAGAGAGATCATGCGACAGATAGAGAGAGAAAGCTTTGCAGAGAAAGAATAAGAAGAAGAAGAATACAGTCGGGTCACCCGATTATGGCGGTCGCAGGTGACATGAAACCAAGTGCAGGGATCCACCAGGGTCGGGTCCCAGCTCTGCAAAACGCTATCCGGGTCCTTCACTGCGCTCCTCAACGCGTACAACGCATCCCCTGCTCGTTTCTCCGAAATCATCACTCACCAATCATATCTCATAAAGCGACGAGACCCCAACAAGAAAGGCAGAAAAAGATGGAACTTTGAAGATACAAGAACGAAGAATGCTGCATGCGTTTCTTCCCAAGTGATTTGCTCCTTTTCATCTTCATCTTTTTACCTTCTGAGTTTGCGCTGGTGAGGTTCAGAGGCGCTGACAGGAGGAGCAAACAGGCCATATGGAACAGGGCCAAGAACGCCATGAGTTGAAGCTTTGTGCGTAAGAAAGAAACAGAGGGAGAGACAGAGAGGTGAGAATTGAAATGAAGTTGGCTTTGTTCTTGGCTGTCTAAAGACAAATTCATATATTTATATATTTGTGAATAAATTTTGTAGATAAATCTCAATATATGGGATATTAGTCCAATAACTTCTTTTATTGTTGCCATTCCTTCTTCTTTTTAAAAAAAAATAAAGATAAAAATAAAGCGAGGCACCGATATTATAGACATGGGCAAGAGAAGAAAAACAAGTTTGGTGTGCCGTAATTACAAAGAAGCAGCTGGCAACTCACTTTGAGCATGATCTTGTCTCGACCCTTTTCGCATGTAACGCCGTGTGAAGAGTCGAAAGACTTTCATAATAATCATGCCCCAAAAGTACAATTAAATTTGACACAATTAAGGTTGTAGGAATCGTTCGCGTTCTATATAATCTCTCTATTCTAGTATATATATAATATCGGGAGAGTTAACTTATTGTTAGGAAAAGCTTTACAAAATGACTAGGCAAAGTTCTTTTCTCTCACTCGCCTCAACAACTTGATTTTTCAGATTCTAAAAGAGAGAAAAGAAAGAAAGAAAGAAAAAGAGCAAACCTTCCGCGATAGAGAGCACTCTAATCGTGGCATGGGTTGTGCCCCGAACACCCGGGCACGGTAGCCGAGGTTATCCTATTCATCTTTTCAATCGGTTCAATGTAGTGTAAAGGCTTTTCACAGTGATGAAATGTCGCGAGACATAATATATTTGACAAGAAGGAATACGTATGAGCAACGAGGCCGAAGCCCCTCGAAGCCTTCTTCTTCTTCTTCTTCTTCTGTTTATTGCCCCCTCGATTTTTGACAAAGACAGAAATGAAATGAGAAATTGGAGTGCATGCGGATGTTTAAAGGGTTGATGGGGAAATGGCGCGGGGGGAATCTGAGACATATCTTTTGGACTCGGGGAATAAAAGTTTCGCAGTTTCAGCTTTTTATTTTCTTGAGGAATAACAATTATTGCACTATTGTCCTACTGGAAAGGCTTGTCTTCGGGTTGCAGAAGGAATAAGCTTTGCTTGTATCCCACTTTATTTGTTTCTGTTGTTCAGCAATCATATTATACATTTCCATAAATTATAGGCATGCTTAACCAAAATGTTGAGCACACAGGGAGTGCCTCTTTAAGCGAGCGGTTTCAGATTTCGTATAGGATCCACCTGGCACCTCGATATAGCCCGTTGGAACAGGTTCCTTGTTTTCTGGAATTTGAATATACTTTGGAGCCTAGATCCTTTCTTGTCACAGGTTTAAAGGTCAGTTTTAGGGTTACCCAGGTTCCACATGTATTATTAATTGAACAATTAGGTGAATCATCACCTTGTATGATCACCGCTTGCTGCTATAATCTACTGACCACAAATTATATTTACATACAAACGAGATTATGAAATATTAACAAAGTAAAAGTCTCCTTCATAAAATAAGAGCTTAAAGGTACACTCATCATCGGACGCTATAAAATACCGCAGGATCACGCAAAGACATAAACCATAAAAAACACACAAACTTGTTTCAGGTTCCACTTACCTAGAACCTGGAACTTACCCATCGAAACAAGTTTCCCAATTTTTGAAACCTGCAACTTGGAAATAGACAGGTTTCCACTGGTCCGATTATTTGGTTCTAGGTTTTACCGTGAAATCATGCTCTTCCCTAGTGCTTATTAAAAAAATGCATATATATGATAGAAAATAGAAAAGAATGTGAGCAACAGGTGAATACAAATCAATATTTCCGTAGCAAGTGTTCTGGACCCTTACTGCACCTTTTTACTAGTAAAAAAAAAGCCTGCACATTCCCTTAAAAAAAGGCATACCAATATTCGAGCAATCATGGATATAATAAAACGTGATATATTTTTCTTGATCTCCGATCAAAGAGAAAAATCACCGGCACTGAATAATTAAGGATGAATGCGGTTGGTGTTTATAACTTACAACTCACCAATCAAAGATAGGATTGAAAGAAGATTGGGGGATGGAGGAAAACATTACCATCTTAAAACCATATTTTGTTGAGCCGGGGCAGTAAATATTAGGATGAAATTAGTGTTCTGAATGATGTGGCAAAGTGCGCCATACTCGACGAGAATTTATGTAACGTCGCTTAACTCGATAAATCATTTTTTGTAGAGCCCGGGCAGTAAATATTAGTAATTTTCGTATGGTGATGATGCATCTCCTTTCTTTTGACCTTTTTTTCAGGTCATTTGACAAGACATATAGTCACTGTGGAGAGCCGGGACATGTTACTTTTTCCCCCCTTCTTCAGAGCAAAATTGACTTTCCATACGGACCATCGATCGTGTAATCACTTTCGCGCGGTCACTCTTTGGGTGTTTTTTGGGCCGAATGGAGACTTTGGATTGGACCTTACACATTTTTTTATTTTTTTTGGTCTGTATTGGACCTTATAGATGAGAAAGCGAAAACCATCGCAAATTGGCATCTCGTGCTCAATTACTGCCGTAAAATACCTAACCTAATCTCATGAATTCGGTAGGATGCGATTCAAAACTTTTGGCGACTGGCTTGGATATTAGGTTTACCTGTGGGTGATGTGAAGAATCGAATCTGTCATGCGATTGATTCATATGCATGTGTTCGCTCTTTAACCACGAGCCGACCCTTTGAGATTTACTTTGCACGACGGCCTTTTGAGTTACTGCTATTCAAAGTGGATTTGGGCTAGGAAATTAGGGCATACTAAGATCTTGCGAACGTGTAATACGGACATCTTACTTTGTTTTTCTACTATTGTTTGTAATATTAAACAATATCGCCAGAGATGTTGAAATTGACTACTAAAATGATGTGGCGGACTCTTAATAATATATTGCGCACGAACAATTTATGTAATGTTTAGTCAAGATTGTTATGTTATTTAGTAAATTAATTTTATGGATCGGTCTTAGTATTTGTAGTATATTACTCAATCACATAAAATGCTGGCAACACCATGGGACTTGGACTTTAATAAGAAAAAGCACAATCAGAGATTATCTTGGTCAATCCTTAATCAAACTTCATAAGCACTAATTCTTTAAAAATTCCCTAACTTAAGATCCAATTCAAATTTTGCCTCAAGCTTTTTTTTTTGTTTCAGAAAAAATCACCAACTTTCATTTTAGTCTCAAATCTACCCCCATTTACCACTTGTCCAAAAATCACCAACTGAATTTTCAAACTTATCAACATCTAAAGGCTGTTGTTGATCCATACGAGGGAGAGGATATTGATGAAGATGCATGTTTTGATAATAAATTTCTAGGTGGTTTTGATGTTGATTATTTTGAAGAAATTAATGATGATTTTTGGAATTATGGGCAAATTTGGTATTAAAGTAAAAGTTTGTGATTTTTTTAGACAAAAAAAAGTTTGAAGTAAATTTGAGACTTAAAGTAAAGAGTTTTTTTAAGGAATTAGCACATCTTTATAAATTTCCCAATCAAGTGATCTTGAGGGTTGTCTCGAGCCATGCACATTGAGATTCAGAATTAACGGTCAAAATGTAATCGATTTCATGAACAACGAGCTCAGTTTCTTAAATGTAGATAACAAAGACAGCCAAAACATTTTTAAATTGGTCATCACCGTTTTAATACATAGATAACATCACTCCCATTTCCTTTAGTTTCTTAAATGAAGATAACAAAGACATCCAAAACATTTTAAAATTGGTCATCACCGTTTTGATACATAGATGACATCTCTCCCATTTCCTTTTCCCCTAGGAATACATTTGCTTTGCGGAAAATGAATGATTTGGACACATTTTTCTAAAAATGATCAATTATATTACTTTTAAAAATGAATTAATTGAAAAATATTTTCATCGTCCACAGATATATGTAAAACATAAATTATTGTCGATAACAAAAATATTTTTTTATCGACTAATTATTTTAAGCGATTTTTTTTAAGAAAATATTTTTCGAATTGTTCATTTTCCCAAAAACAAATGAAACCTTAGATTTTCAAGGTTTCATAGTTTCTCCTAATCTCGTTCTAAGTTCTAATAATCAAACAATAGCATGTAGTTCTGACGCTTTGCATGTAGCAACTTGTAATAATTTCTGCGTGCATGTAGTCTAGTACAAAGCAAAGGAGTCAAATAACTTGGCTTGATATCAGAATAATATCAGATTAATATAATAGGGTTTGTCCTAGCACTCAGTACGGCCCATAATATAAGCCAGACTGGATTAGGGTTTAGAGCTTCCCGGGGGCGCAGTTGAACTTTTCTCTTTTGTTCTTGGCAAATGATAATACATACCTGGTCAATGCTTTTAAGTTATTAACACATCCGAGAGAAATTGAAAACCGACACAATAGAAAACCGAACACCTTACAAGGATTAGTACTTTTGACTCATGAAGTTTTAGGGTTCGACGAATCAACTCGTCAAGCTGAGTCATTTCAGCCGATTTGCGAATCTCAGTTCATATTATTTCATCGAAATTTTGCTATCTTACCTAGTTGCATCACCAAAAGTTCCATATAGAGCTGAGATATTCACAATCAATAAGCAATGACCAGCCTTGTGTAGTTTCTACCTACGCCTCTTCCCTTTCAAAGATTGAAGACTAAAGTTCTTTCTAAAGCCCCCATCAAAGACTCAAATCTGTCTGAAACACAAGAATCTCTACGAAGAGGAGGAAGGTACCATAGTTACTTATTGGGCTAACTTGGTCTCAGATACCTTCTCAATGACCTCTGATCCCAAATTTTTTTTAAAAAAAATCACCCTTTATGATAAAAAGAGAAAAGAAAAAGTGAACCCAAAAAAAAAAGTTTGTGCCTTCTTGGACTAATCATCAGGTATTCCGAGCAAGAATGCTGATATGAAAGATGAAAAGGATGGGATGACTAATGAGTAATGACAGCAAACACACGTAATCTAAGACTTGCTCAAATCATACACTACAACATGGGGAGAGACTGATTGTCAAAAGATTATTTACAAGCAAACAAAGAATTAAGGGAAAAAAGAGAGAGAGAGAGAGAGAGAGTAAAGAAGGGAGCAGCTCATCTGGCAACTACAGGCAACCCAATCAAGGGGCTTCGCTAGCCTTCACGAACCGACCCTTGACTCGCTTCCTAGTGTCAGCTCTCGCCTTCCTCGACTCATACCTTATGTGCTTGTCGTATCTGTTCGTGATGAGAAAGAATCGATGGTTTAATGCTCGCGAAGAAGTGCCCTAAAGCGGGGAAGCTGTTATGCGCTGGAAAGAAAAAAGAAGAGGATAGACAAAAAGACACCTCCGGTTTTTCTTCTTCTCCTTGTAACGGAGCATGGCGTTGCCTCTGTTTTGAGCCAGTAACTCCAAGTCGGCCTTTGTCTTCACCACTGTTTCACTGCCACTCGTGATCAATGTCTGATCCGCAAAATTGTAACTCTTGGAGTTAGCAGAGCCTTTAGCTTTAGCAAGAGCTGAACCAGACGATGGCCTGGGCACGGGTAAGTTGTTACTCTCAGATGTTGCTGGCTCTTGGCTAGCAGCCAGGTTACTTGAACTGGCCTGCGGTGTTAGAAATAATCTGATATTCACTTTGAGAAGAGAAGCTTGAATGTAGAAGTAGAAAGATATTTCTAAGTCTGTCTCAGTAACATCAGAAAGTGCAAAGGTTACCAGCCTTTCCGTCTCAATGAAGTAGAGAATATATGACTTGAATACATAAACTAAATAAATCGTGATTCCTATTCACCAAAACAAAATATGATTCCTACAGTGCCCAAAGGGTTCTTGTCAAGCATATACTAATATAAAAAGTACGATATTTAAAGCATTGAACATCACGAGAAACATAAGTAAATTGAAAACTGTGACATTTCTTATTTGATTACTTAACAAGTTTCTCAGGGACGCTATACAACAAAACCCATATGACCATGTCTAGTTTTACAGGGAAACAAAAACTATTCTCTAGAATGAGGTTTTGAAAACATGATGATTGAATGATATAGTCACAGTATCATTGGTAACATGCAATCAGTAACATCACACAAAATCATGCGATATACACAAGTTCACTTGCAAGCTTTGATCAAAGGATATATTACATTTCGACATGATATATTGTCAATCATCTTTTGTCAACAAAATCTAGATGCGAACTTTGTCTCATTTAACCACTAGGGCAAACCTTAGTGGCCACCCTTCCTACTTGGGAAGGGGGAGGTGGGGAGTTCGATCCCCCACCTTCTTAGAGGGTCAGTGGTAGGGACGTTTAGTTTCAAATGTAGATTTTGGACTTCCACACCCTACAAGGAGGTAGGGCAAAAGTTTGAGAGTGAGTTGAAAGTTAAAGTAGGATAGACAAAAAAAAAAAACTTTGTCTCATTTCAAAGAAAAAAAGAAAGGAAATTAAAGCGCCTAATGCTAAGCCTTGTGGCTCTTAAGCATAAGAAAGCCATCACATCGACGGAAGGTACGGTTATCAAATCACACCAAACTTCAGACATCTTAAGGACATGCAACGGCGTGAAGCATTGCCTAGGCCTACAGGTTGCAGGAACAAACAACACCAAGAAATGCAGCACATAATGGGGGGCCATAGGCATGTTTCATACAATTAAACTGGTAATCTCCATCTTGAAACTTCAAGATGGTCTAAGTGGCAGATTGGCAGGAGAAGAACAAGAAATTTGAACAAAATATTTGAATGTCTATGCATCTATTCCGGAACAAAAACAGTACAATATAACGGATGGTGCAATCCAAGAGGCAGATACTTGTACCTACTGTTATCGAAACCATAATTCATGTTCAGCTAAGATTTGATCATCAGGTGTTTCTTAGCTAGTTCTTGTCAAAGCGTTCCAGGCCTTGTCGAGCAAGATATAAAGATAAATAAATGCAAGACGTGAATCAGGACGGAAAAAATGTGGAGGTACTTAGACGTTAGACTCGCTTACATTGTACAACGAACTATCTTCGGGCATGACATAACCATTCAGCTGGTACACATCCCCCAACATTTTTGTAGTCGTGATTGATGTCTCTTTCATTAGTTCATTGTAACTCTTGATCATAAAACCTTCGTTACTTTTGCCATATCCAACTTCCACTGCATTAGCTTCTTCTTGGCTCCTCAACTGTCCCAAGTTGAAATCCCAGATCTGAGAGGAAGCAAACATACCAACGGTTAGCTTCACTACATACTACACAAAACAACAGTTTGACCATTTAAGAATCACATGAGTAAACATACTATCACAGAACGGGATTAAAATGAGAAACAGCATCAAAGCGCAGCGAACTTAAGTCCTCAAAGTCCAAGAGAAGCTCGGCCTAGGGGTGTGTGCCAGAAACGACCGAACAATGTAAGCGAAAGACTAAGCAAGTCCTCAGAAATCAATGATAGGCTCATAACCATAATCAACGCGAGAATGCTGCACTCTTAGAATGATAAAAGCCCGTCGCTAAAAAGTTGCATGAGAGAGAGTTCTTGATCTTCGATTCCAAATTGATTACAAAACCAGTGAAAACGAGAGGAAGCACTACCACTGCAAGAAGCCAAGGGCTTTCCCAGAAACAGAAATCATCACATGAAGAATGCCAAAAAGAGATCCAGCCCTAAACCCAACACAACCTCTGGAGAGCTTCTGACATGAAAACTAGGCCGTTTTCCAAGAGCACGACGGTCGGGAAAATCAGTCACCAGCCCCAACCACTCGTAATCAACACACGCTAATAATAAAGCATGAAATCTATCATTGCAAGAAGCCATCCCCAGATCATATGACGAACTATAAGCACCAGACGTAGCTAACTGACCAACTAAAAGGCTAGAAATCAAGTAAACCAAAGTGAAAACGCAATCAAAATCCAAACCTGAGTACTCTGGCCGCCAACATTCCTAGTCCCCACCCCCGCGGCACGCCGTCCGCTCTCCTCCAAATCTCGCTGCGTCGGGAACATCAGCAAAGAAGTAAAAGTGGGCTGCTGTTGAAATGGCTGATGATGATCCATCACCACCGCATCAACCCCATCACTCCCGTGTTGATGCTCCCCACAGATCCCTTCCCCATCCTCCGGCCACGCGGCCGTCGTCCTGTTCGGCGTCCTCGGCACCAAATTATCTCCTCCCCCTCCGCCTCCTACTCCGCCTCCGCCTCCGCCGTCGGAATTATCCTCGAAATCCCTCTTCAGCAACTCCACCAACTGCTTATGCATCTCCTGCTTGCGCCTCCCGCAGTTCGTCCGACCCGTCGATCCCTGCTTGACGACGCCGGGGTAGGGAGCCGACAAAGCCGTGTCGTTGGGCACCATCAGGTCCTGAAACCCGAACCCGTTTCCGCTGGCCCCGTACACCCAACCCTCCATGCTCGAAATCACCTCTTGCATCAGCTGGCCATCGTTCCGGGGGAGGCCCGAGTGGCCCGACTTCTTGTCCTCGTCGGCGGCCAAATCGAGGCCCAAGAGGGAGGCGAGCTCGAGGGCGGAGGGGCAGCCGGAGAAGCCGCCGACCCGGGAGCGGAGGTGGGAGGAAGGGACGGGGGAGGCGGAGTGGGCGTCCCAGTCGCAGTCCTGGCAGAGGACGAGGTTGTCGGTGGAGCAGCGGGCGGAGGCCGGGGCGGAGGCGCAGTTGTCGCAGATCTGGGAGCGGGGGTGCTTGCGGGAGAGGAGGTTCGCGGAGTGGACGTGGTGGTCGCACAGGAGGCACAGCTTGGCCGCGTCGCTCCGGCAGTAGAGGACGGCGAACCGGTCGGTGCAGAAGTCGCAGGGGACCCTCTTCTCGCCGGCGGTCCTCGAATCGGGGCTCGCCATTTTCGTGCCCTTCTTCTCTCGGTCGGGCAGACACAGACGCACGCGCACGCGCAGACACCTACCTACGACTGCGGTGCAAGTATAGGAGCAGCAAAGGAAGGAAGGAAGGAAGGATAGAGGAGAGAGAGAGAGAGAGAGAAGTTCCTTCTTATGGGGCGAAGGGATTGCTGGGATTTGTTTCAAAAAGGCACATGAGAAACACGAAACATATGAGCATATGACCTCTCTCTCTCTCTGTATCTTTCGGAGCGTTTTACGTTTCCATCGACACTCATCCCTTCTTTGGTTAGGGAGTCCTTACGAAACACTTCGTTAAATTTGCTTAGTTATGCAAATATTTGACTTTCGAAATAGTTTTCGTGTACATCATGAGAACAATCGGTATACTTACTCCTTTTTTCATCTTGTTGAGATTTGTTTTTCGGTTAATTAATCGATGCCCCGATGGGATTATTTTTGAATGAGATCGTGAGGTCGGCCATTCCCTTTCGAAGCTCTTTCGTGTGCGCTCGCAATAACGAGGAGGAACGAGCATGTCATGGCAATTAGGGGTGATTAGTCTCTGGGTGATCTGGTTCTCACTCAAGAACCGAAAATCAAATCACCTGATCTTGGAATCGGACCGGATTGGACCGGTCGGTCCGATCCAGTTTTCGGTTGGTCCAATGGAACCGGTTGCAACCTCATGAGTGTTGAAAACCATAAGCACTTCCACCATTATAAGCAAAATCCTAAACTGCAAGATCCCACAACCTCACATTCCTGTTAGCCTATAATTTATATTTTGTATGAAAAAGGGCAAAAAATAGGGAATTGGATATTACCTTGGTGAGATGCAAAAAACAGAGCAAGAGAGAGAGAGGCGAGAGTCGAGACTTGAGATGAGATCGAGAGAGGGAGATGTTGAGCTCGGGCGAGACGGACGCGACTCAGGTGAGAGAAGGTGGTGCTGTCTGAGAGTCGGGCAAGAGAGGATGGTGCCGTTTGAGAGTCGAGCAAGAGAGTGACTGAGAGAGCCATGAGTCGTAAGTGACAGTCGAGCAAAGAGAGGCGTGAGAGAGAAAGAGCGATTAGGGTTTGTGATTGTGAAAGAGGCGCGAGAGCCGAGAGGGAAAGAGTGAGCGTGAGAGAGAACGGGGAAAGAGCAAGTGTGAATATGTGATTAGGGTTTCTTTAAAGATTTTTTGGAAAAAAAAAATATTCGATCCGATTCGGGCAATCTGAGTGAGTGGGTCCACCCTTTCGAACCGGGAATGGGACCGAAAAATATCGGTTCCAATTTTATGGAACTAAGAACTGGACCGGCGCCTTTGGGAACCACCTAGAATCGGTTGGTTCGGTCTGATCCGGACAGTTCCCGTTGCTCACCCGTAGTGGCAACCCCATCATTTTGCGAGCAGCTTTCTTACATAACATTAAAAGGAGTTCCATACTCGCTACCCAAATGTTCATTTGGAGCATAACTAATCCTACTTTGAGCAGAGTCCATCATTGCCGAACCTCAACCAACGCATTAGAGAAAGCAGGATTTTATAAAATCGAAAGATAACTGAAAAACTTTAAACGGCGACGAAGAAAATTACACATGATATGAATACAAGTCTTAGTCAACTCGACCAAACCATCCCGATGATCAATGTATTTCGATTTTCGGCACGAGTGACGAAAGTAATTAGATTTCTGATCATGCCATGTGAGTAGAAATGGCTTGATGCACCGTGTCAATATGGAGTGGTCGTGCCTTTCATGTTATCGGTTGGCTTCAATGTTTGAGCTCACAATCTGACGCGATGCTTAACTACTATATCCAAACCCTAACTTGACTTCACTTGATCATCCTTATGTCAACACTAAACTAGCGTTGGAAGTTTTAATTCAAGTAATACAAATTGCAAAACGAGGCAGAACGATGTTCATCTCGCATCTGCGATTTTTAAGCATCTAGCTATGACATTCATTAGTTGATTACAACTAGTAACAAATTATTAATTGTCGTTAATTTTTTTTATAATTTGTGTAAAACCGGAACATGTATTTTAGCATAAATTACTCGTTAAACTGTATCCGGTTCCATATGAATCTTCATAGAGTAAAGTCAAACATAGGGACTCGACGATAGTTATATAATTTCGAATTGCCGCCGTTATGTGATGCGAGAACATTTCATATTGTATGCGATCACATTATTTGTAATATCGAGGAAAGATAGTGAAAACGTTCCAAAGGAATAGTCAATAGGAAGAGCCGCGCACGATGGTAGAATTTTCCAACGCAATTGCTGATTTGCAACATTCAAAACTCATTAAAATTGATATTATTTTTTCTTTCCATCGAATAGAATTTCACGGTATCGAACGAGACAAGCACAGGTCCTGGTCGGAAGCAAAACGAATGGAGAGCGCAAGAAAAGTGCTTCTTGCAGAGAGCACGCGATCGATTTCTTTATCATTTTAGAGTCTTATCAAAGTAGATACTCAATGGACTGATGCTCCGAGGTCGGTTAACCTTCAGGCAAAATAACAGGAGCTCGAGGACGGATTTGGAAATATCAAAAGTGGAAGTCCTTTCGGGGAAAGGAAAGTCTTTTCTGACCCTCTTAGTTTTTTCTTTTTCCGGATCCTGGTTATTACCTCAATTCGGCAATTTTCCCCAAAACAAAAAATTTCGGCGACCTTTTCCAAACGGCACCCCACCACCCCCACCACCCCCACCCCCTCTCCCGGCCCACCAATTATTCCGAATTTAAAAATCAGCCCCCGGAAATGTTATTTTATTGGGATCTAAGTCCATTTTCAAATCCCAAATTCACCCCCACAAACCCAACCTCGGATTTGATTAAAGGCCAAATTGGGGTGGGGAGATTGAATTTGGACAGCTCTGGGGCTCGCTCGATCCTTTTGTCCGTACGGGTCAATTTGTATTATTCTTCCTCTTTTGGGTCCGCCATCGTGGTGGTGGTGGTGGTGGTGGTGGTGGTGGTAGGTGTTTTGAAGTATCGCAATCAACAATTAAGACGAATAATTTATTAGATTACGAGATTAATTTAATCGCGATAATTGATGAAAAGGGAAAGGAGGGAAAAGGAAAGGGAAGAATCGGGTGCTGTCGAGTGCATGCTTTCCAATTTTTGGTGGGTCGATGTGTCTCGTTTGATGGGAGGAAGATTTGGATTTTTTTAATATCGGCCCATCCAATAAATTGGAAAAGCCACATTAAATTAAGAAAATTCAAGCTAGGTTTAAAATATTGGCTTTTGAATAATCACTATTTTGGTTTTTTTTTGCTCACATACGAGGAGTTCTGGTGGTCTATTGGCTATACCCCCTTATGATCAATAAGCGCGAAGCTTAGTTGCTTCCTTTTACTTTTTTATTTTTTAATTTATCACGTGCTTCATGCTTGTGCTTATCTGGCAATTTGACGAAAAGGTTGTCGTAATTTACAAAGAAGATTCCCTAATAACATATGAAAATTGCTCATTTGTTGGGGGGGGGGGGGAATTTTTAGTTATTAAGATAAAATTTTATTAGGTCGAAGGCCGAAAGAAATTCCATGTAAATTTCGCAAAGCCCTTCAAATTCATTCGAATATGGCAGGGTCGATGTAGGGGAATAGTGTCAAAAAAGTCCTAAATCTTTTGTATTAATGCCAATTTAGTCTTAAACCTTTTTTTGTGCCAATTTAGTTCTAAACCTTTTGTATTGGTGCCAATTCAGCCCTAAACTTTTTGTCTTTGTGCCAATTCAGTTCTTCCGGCCAATTTTGGCTGGATTTTGTTGTCGTGGACGCCGATCGGCCACCGACGCTGACGTGGACAACTTTTAATAATATGTTAATATTTTTTAAAATTTTTATTTATTTATTTTCCCTCTCCTCCCTCCTTCCTCTAGCCAGTCGTCAGTCTGGCGACCGGCCAGAGGCCAGAGACCTTGCAGGCCACTGGCGAGGCTCGCCCTTGCCAGCAATGGCGAAGGCGAGTCTCACCATGGCTGGGTGAGGGTGGACCTCGCCAGATCTGGCGAGGTCGTGCTTTGCTTAGCCGTCGGCAAGGCTCAAGCCCTCCCCATAGGCCTTCGACCTCGTGGCCTCCGACGAGGGCTCGAGCCTCGCCTGCGGCTGGGCAAGGCTCGACCTCGCCGGAGGCCGCGAGGTTGAAGCCTCTGGCGAGGGTCGAGCCTCGCCCACCCAGAGTGAGGCCGTCCTCGCGGCCATTCGGCGAGGGCGAGCCTTGCCAGTGGCCTTCGACCTCGCGGCCTCCGGTGAGGTCGGGCCTCTGGCCGGTCGCCAGTCCGACAACCGGCTAGAGGAAGGAGGGAGGGGAGGAAAAAAAAAGAAAAAAGAAATAAAAATTCAACAAATATTAAAATATTATTAAAAGTTGTCGACGTCAGCGCCAGTGGCCGATCGGTGTTCACGTTAGCAAAATCCGGCCAAAAATAGTCGGAAGGACTGAATTGGCACAAAGACAAAAGGTTTAGGACTGAATTGGTACAAATGCAAAAGATTTAAGACTGAATTGACACCAAAAAAAGGTTTAGGACTAAATTGGCATCAATACAAAAGGTTTAGGACTTTTTTGACACTTTTCCTGTTGATGTAGCTAGAAGAAAAAATCTCCCCATTCTCATTCGTACCCTTATTTTTTATCTTCATTTCTAAACACTTAAAACTTTATTTAGATCACAACGCAGTCGTTCCCATTCACTTCCAACGTCAGTCTCGACCCTTCGATCTCTACCATTCTTCCCGTCGATCGACTCTCCACTAAGTACAATGAAAAATCCGCCGTAGAGTCGGTGACGAATCAACTCGGTCCAATTGACGATCAAAATCTACGTACTTCTCAATTATTAGTCACGTGATTGTATACCACAAATTGATTGTTAGCTTTCATCCTCTCATTTCTTCTCATTTCCCTCTTCCTCTCTCTCGAAAACGCATCACCCCCAAATAAATCCCCTAAATTCAGGATCCCGTCTCGAGATATTTCGCAACACTAAGTTTCACATCAATGCCTCAAATCAAAATCTGTCTCCAAGCCTCCCACTAGCGTTCCATCATCGAGCCATCGGGGAAAAAAGGCTGCAACAGTGATTAGCACAGCATAAAGAGC